TAGGGCAAGTCCTGACATATAGCAGGTTCCAGTGAGGTCTTATGGTAACACCATGAAGCAGCCGGGGATATTATGTGAGGGAAGCAATTAGTGTCTAAATGGTGCAGTCACACTAGATCTGTACTTACAATCTCTCTCAGACTATATCTAATATATACAGAGAGGGGTCCCAGCTCTTCATGTCTGCTCAGCTAGAATCATCTGATTTTGAGGAGGAGATGGAGGGGCTGAGGTGACTTGACAGCTTCCAGCCTACCTAGTGAAGAAGTTCAGGTGAGCGTGAGTGTGAAAACCAGCACACCTTGGGAAAGGAGGGACACGTTTCAGAGCTAGTAGAGGGGCAGTGCAGAAGGAGTTCCTGGACCCTGCCTGGGGCAGCAAGCACAGTGATCACACCAGTGAAGACGTGCCTCACGCTGTTCCTGCCATCCAGCCCCCAAGCAGCAGAGTCAGAAGAGTCCCCAAAAGGGAGGGAAGGAGGAGATTCTTTAGCTTGGATTCAACTCTGGACAGGGACAGAGGCTTCTCCTGTATCTCAAGGGGAGCACTACTTTCATTGGACTGGGGTTCCAAAGTTTTGTCTGAGACTGTGAAGAGGAGAGGCCTGCTCACGACAATATATAGATTTTATCTCTCTGTTAAGTAGAGCTGGGGCTTAGCCTCCCAGTGGGGAAAAGAGACTGCTTGGTCACTGCTACAAACAGCAGAATTTTATGGGTTGGTGCTGCAAACTAATATCCTTTCCCACATCTTGGCAGTTCCTTGGTGTAGAGAAACCACAGCTTAGTTTTGGGTGGCCCCATTTTGCTTTTCATCTGATAAGCATGAAACCAAGCTGCCTGTGTTCAGTATGAGAGCCAATGCAAATGCTGGTGCTTGTTTCAGCTGAATGGATAGGATAATTAAATTTGTGATAGGACTGAAGATAATTCCTTAGCCAGTTTCTGTTTGATCAATGCTTTGTGGTGAATTCTTTGTTGTTTTTGTAGAAGACAAATAATTAATGAATGGCCATGACTGACTTTAATGATGCAGGCCACTTATCTTTTGCAGTTGCACCTGCATTACAGTTCATTGTCACATCTCATGGCAAGAATATTCTGAGTGCCTAAAAAGATTGGACTGTTTTGTATTAGCAGTAATACTTATCATTCAAGTCCCACCATGAATGTTGGCATCCAGTGCTGCTTCTATTCCATAGTTGAATGTTCATAGGACCGGCTGAGCTGCAAGGTGACATCTGAAGCAGGTGTAAATCAGCTGGGCACTGTCCCAGCACTAGTAATGGTGGCTTAACTTGGTCTTTTCTTTCCTGTAAGCAAAATTAGAGCAGGCATCCAAAACCCAAGCATCTTATTTGGCAGTCATTTCTTACGTGGAAAGAAGAAATCATACAATTACAGCTTGAGACATGCCTGGTTTAAAACTTAAGCAAGTAACCAGTGTGAGTCTAACTTGGTCCCCTTCATTTGAAAGGGTCTACTCTAGGAAGGCACAGTCCTTAGGTTAGGTATAGATCAGATTACTTATATAGTAACTGCAACCAAACCCTTTAATTAGAGGCTGTTTCCCAACTTAGGTCACCAGATATTGCTGGGTCAGTGTGGCGCAGGAAGTCCAGGTTCTAGTCCCCACTCACCAAGAAGCTCGCTGGGCAACTTCAGAGACTCTAAGCCCACCCTACCTCACAGGGTTGTTGCAAAAATGGAATAAAATTAAATGTACTACCTTAGGGTCCTCAAAAAGGAACAAAGGCAGTTTATTAATGCGATGTAATCATCCTAATCCCTGACCTTTGCCCATACTGGCTAGGATAGGAGTTGTAGCACCACCAACTTGTAGCTTTGGCTGTTGAGCAGTATAGAAATAAAACAGACAGACAAACTTAGGATCTGTGGTTGGAATGTTCCACAATGCAGTTTAGCTGTGTCAGCCAAAGTAGCTAACATGAAATCCTGTATCCATTAAGCCAAAAGTTCGTCAAGCGCTCTGCATATCTGAGGTAATGAGAGAACACTTGGCAGCAATGTGGTCGAAAGTCATGGATCCATGTAAAGGAATGGCCTTTGGCTTCAACAGTTGGCCAATGGGCATCATGCAGTGAATTATAATATGGCAATATTTTGCGGTATATTGGCCATGTTTGGCCATACACAGCGACTATTACAAAACAACTAGCCTTGTCAGTCATTGTTACTTAAAAGCTGACCATGCTGTCCTTGCTGTGCTGCCAGCTGCCTTCTTTGCAATTATTATGAAATGTTACACAGCAATCTAACTTTCCTGCTCTATGAAGTCACCAGACAAGTGAGCCAGAGTGCTGTAACAGTTCAGATCATGGGACTGGGAATCAGGCAATCTGGGTTCTAGTCCCCACTCAATCATGGAGCCAACTGGGTGACTTTGGGCCAGTCACAGACTCACAGCCCAACCTAACTCACAAGGTTGTTGTGGAGATAAGATTGAGAGCAGGAGGAGAATTATGTAAGTCGTTTTGAGAGCATTAGAAAAAAAAAACAGGATATCAATCAAATAAATAAATGAGACTAGCAGAGAAGGAATGAACCTGAATTGCCTCTCCAGCTGATTCAGCTCTGTCCTTTGTTGAGGCCTTTGCTGTTAGAGAAAAGCAGTGCTAACATAGCTCAGTGCTCTTGAGTGTTCCCAAGGATGTCTCCACAGAGCAAACCATGTGGAAGAAGTACAGCTTCCTGCAATTGTGTCTGCTTTGGGCAAGGCACTTAAGCCTTAAATAATACAGCTAGGGAGGTAAAGGACTGTGCAGTGGCAGGAAGAGGACTCTATCCTTGGAAGCTAGTAGTCCCACTACAGTCCAATGGATTATATTTTCTTCAGTGATTTCTCAGCATTATAGTGGAATTTTCTGAAATGCAGGGTATTCTGAAACCAAATGGTGCCTCTTTTGGCAATCTCTTTTGAGGAGGAGAAACAGGCCTTATGTGTTGGGTACCTAAGTGGTATTTCCTTCTTTGTATGTGTTTCTTACAGAAGCTTCAAACTGAGTAGCAAATATGGTTCTGAGTGTTTGTCATTTTGGGACACATGCTAGTCAGGCTGGTATAAGAGCTCCTTTTCTATGCTGAGGTACTCTGCAAAGAAAGCAACCCATCCACACGCCAATTCTTTGCTTAACTGACCATGGAGTCAGTAACTCCAGTGTCATCTGACTTGCTAACTCCCAACATTCTTATTTTCTCTGCCAGAAATTTGACTGTGAAGTCAAACAAAGTAGCTACATACTGATATTTGAGAAGGTGATGTTCAAGAATGTTTTATTCTGAGTGTCTTCTGAATTCTTTTCTTTTTGAAAACATCTTGCTCAGAGCAGGAGCACTGTGATAATCCTGTGATTTATACACTCAGCTGTCATCCACATATCAGCAGTTCTTGTTGTGCCTGGTTGAAACTCCAGTAGGCTTTTGTTGTTGTTTTTGTTTTAAATTACTTTCCTGATCCTGCCAGTAGATGCATAGTTAGTGAAGTACATCGGGATCACTTAGTCAGAGTCAAAGTCAAAGTAATTTTCTGCCTCCCCCTGAATTCAATGGTACTTCAAATAAGTGCAGAAAACCTCAGTACTAAAAGCACTGACAAGTCTATTCAAGTCAGTGTGCTTTACGCTAATGAAATGGGTAAAGTCTAAAAAATTCAGGTACTTCAATGATTTGTGGACTGGTCTTGTAACATTTAGCACGGAGCCATCCTTAGCTCTCAACCCCCTTTTATAGGAACCTTGCAGTCCTCCAAGCTCAGGGGATGCCATTAAACACTACTATCCACCTCTTACTTCAATGAAGCTCTTGGTAATTGCTTTGCAACAGTGTGGACTGTCTTAAAATGGACATGCAGACCAATGCAGTGCTGTATGAACAAATAAAACAGCAGAGAGGGGGCTCTGAGCCATGCCACTGTTCCATGGCATTGACTTTGAATTAGCTACAAAGCCCAACTCAACTCAACATCCAATGGGGCCATGCAGTAATGCACATGTGTGGAGTGCCATCAGCACATTTGTACTTTCATGACAATCCTGGGTAGAACTCTTGGAAGGCAGGTGAGTTCTTTCCTTGGTGATCACCTACTTTAGAGTATTTAAGGTGGGAATGTATGGGGGGCTGAATCCAATCTTGCTGTTCTGTTGAACAGGCCACCAACTGGATTTCAGTTTTTAAAATAGAGTTCATGCGTGTCCCTAGGTACTGGATCACAGAACCAGTCACACACGCATCACCTAATTGCACTTATGGGTCCCCATCCAGCTATGGGTTTGTGCATGGGAGTTTCCTTCCAGGCTGCCTATTCTGCTAGCTGCATTGGGGCAAACATGCTTGCTTGTTATTGTTTGTTTTTTAAAATGCTTATTCTAAATCCTCTAAATACTTTTCTTTCCTTGATACCATGTACCTAATGTAGCAGAGGATGTGGGTAATTCAGGTGTGGTTTCCTGATTCCCTTGGAACTCCTCTAACTGTTTTGTAAACTGTTCTGAGAGCATTAGCTAATTGAAGGGTATAGAAATGCTTTAAATAAATAGAGTTGTGCCAATGGCTGCCCAGCAATCATATGAACTGGATGAGTGTGATTGGTTCTCTGCAGTTCATTTTTTGAAAGGACCAAGCTGAACGCAAGAAACTTCCAGTGAACTATTCCTGAAGCAGATGCATTCTGCTGCTTATTCAGATGCGCAGGCAGAATTCACATTCTGCTGCATTCCCTTTTTAACATTTGTCAAACTACTTGCCACCATTGCTGACAAAGAACATACAACTATGAAACCATGTCAGCTGACGTTGTATACACTTCAGTGACATTTACTCTCTGGAGTACATTTGTTTAGAATTGAAATGTATGTTAGAAGGTTATGCTTCTCATCAAGAGCTCCTCGGAGTATATGACATTCTTAGCTTATAACCACAGAAAAAAATGTGACTCTCATAATGGTGTGAGATTTTTGAATCAATGCTGTTTTGTTGCTTTAGCACATTGGTGTGGGCATTCCCAAAATTAGAAAAAGGAGACCCCATATCCAGGTAACTATGGAAGGAGGTGCTATTAGTGTCTTTTAAAGATGCATAGAGCTGAAGCTTACCTTAGAGCTTCCTGAAATACACCTAACTAGGCTGTTTACCTTATCAAACAGCTTCTAAAAGCATGAAGCTTGCAAAATTAGTGTGGATGCTTGTGCAAGATGTCGCTTCAAGTGATGATACATTGCTATTAACAGAGAATCAGATGTGTGCTTTTACTACAATTCTCATTTTTTTCCAAGATGTTTTGAATCTGGGGGGAGGGGGGCGTTTATTCATTCCAGGTTTATTTTGTGGTAAACCTGAAGTCCCTGCATAGTATTGTGAAGTTTGCACCACAATCGGACAGCTTTGTGCAGATGTTGGTAGCTTATGATGTTCTGGGTGCAAGCCAGAAAATGACACATAGCTTGAAGCAGTATTTGTCTGAGGCAAATATTGCATTATACACTGAAAAGCAGTTTTTGCACGCATTCATAATCAACAGACACTGATACTTGCTTCCAGATTCATTCCAGATTCATTTTATACACACATGCACGCATGACACACTTAAACAACACACACAGTACCACATGTAGAGCTGACACAGTTTACCCCCCCACTGTAATAATAATTTAATAATTCAATTTTTATTTTTCTGCACCAGTTTTGCCATTCCTTCTGTTCTTCATTTTTACCAGATCCATTAAAACAATATGCTCTTCCAGTCTTCATCATAGCCATGCAGGAAGTCGATATGCATTTAATTGGCTTGGCTGCTTTTCTTTTAGTTTCACCCTTTCATTATTAGTTGTGTGCTTGCATGGCATCATAACATTCCTTACATAATCATGTCTTATGATTGCAGTTGATTGGATGTGTACAATGAGGGCCTGCTTTATAAAGGCATCTCAGTAAAATGGGAAGGGAACAGTTGATGGAGTCTAAAGCTTGGCAAGTGCTCCTCCTCCCATCCTGATTATCTTTTAGTCAGGATGAATGGCTGGCTGTCTTATGTATTTACTTGACAGATGTGGTACAGAACCTAGTGACTTATTCATCTTCCATTTTTGTTATTTGCTTTCCCCCATTGATCCTGGAAACCATTAAAGCTTGCAAAACATACCATGGTGGATGTGGGCCCAAAGACACAATTCACTGGAACATTCCCTTGTACAAGCCACATGGACATCAATGGAAACTTAGCATGGTATTCTTCCATATGGTGGTTCTGTTTTTTTAAAACCACATTTAATATTTATATGCTTTCTTTGATTTTAACAGTCATCCAGCAAAACCAAACACCAGCGACAAACTGTTGAGAATCCAAACAAGAGTAGAACCATGAAAACATGCAGGAAAAAAGGAAGAAACAAAACAAAACACAAAACAACAAGCAACAACAAAGCATATATCCACACTGTAATGATCAGAGATACACTGAACTCGTCTTGAAAGCATTACTAATAATATATGAGTATGCATATATGTTCACACATACACACATACATATTCAATGTTCTGGTTCCACATTATGATACAGGTTGAAGTAGGTTGACCTAATATCAGAATGTTGAGGTTTTTTCCCATCTTTGTCATCTCTAATTATTCTCTTTATTATATATTTCAGTAGTATGCAATAGAGCAAATGATTCATGGTAAATGAAATAAATAATACACACCCTAAGACCTCAGATGAGAAGATTGAGTAAAACTTACTTCATTATTTAGGATTTAAGGCACAATAACTGCATACTAAAAAAGATGAAACATAGCGGGCTTATACAAGAGAGCTTCCCAGTGGATTGTGACCTAAATATTTTACTAGCAATACCTTGTTTTGCTTTGTTTTTTGGAAATGCATCTTAAATTTCAGGATAAGATCTTGGGCATTTCTGTTGCATCAATTTTCATTTGTGTGTTTTTATTGTTTGCCTAAGCTTTCATACTCCTTCACTGTGACTAAACCATCATTTTGCATTAAGTTTCCTTTTCCTTTTTTCCAATTGTTGGGCTGGATCTAGGGTGAAATCCTATGGATGTTTAAAGTTTAAGAAGTCCTACGGCTCCTGGCATTCTCCAGCCTGTTGTTCTAGCTCCAACTGGAGCATGCTGGGAATTCTCTGTCTACCTGTGCAAAGACTTGCACCTTTAGTCACTCTCCAGGTTGATCCACTGAACTCACTGAAGCCTTATTTAGTCCTGGATAGCTAAACGTCCATGGAGTTCAATGGGCATATTCTGAGCGTAACTAAATCTGGAATCCAACCTACTGGTATTATATTATGGCCTTTTTATTGTTCTATTTCCTTTTGTATGCTTGCTTTGTTTACTGGAATGGGACACGGACTGCAATTCTGCATTTGCCACAGCAGTACCTTCATGCATGCTGCCTGGGTTTGATCCTTCTAATTCCATTCCACTGCATGTAAGACATTTATTATTTAAATTTTATTTGCCTTTTTTGTTAAATATTGAATGTATTATTACCAGTGGTTACCTTATTATCTTTTAGTTGTTTGTCATTATTATTATTATTATTATTATTATTATTATTATTATTATTATTATTATATAACTTCAGTTATTGATTCTAGTGCCCAGGAGAATAAAATATCTGGAGCAGGATCCTATGGATGTTTATTTAGAAAAAAGTCCTAGAGCTCCCAGCATTTTCCAGCCAGCATGGGAATTGTGGGACTGTTTTCTTTCTAAACTTTCCTGTGCCCGCTTTTTTCTGGAGAAATCAAAATTAAGCAGTTTTAAATGCATAGTTTTTATGATACAATTGAAAAATCTGTTTATTCAGTCTTTTAAAAATATTTAAATCTCTTTAAATGTTTTCATACCTAGGCAAAATGTCTTCTGCTTTCTTTTTTAAAGGAAGCCATTAAAAGAATAACAAAATTAAAAATGCTTTGTAGTACCCTGTGAATTTGCTCCAGAAGAATATAACTAGATAAACCTGTTACTTTCTTTTAGCTGTTAACAGTTGGTCCATCATTGACTAGCAACTATTTCAGGCTCTGGACTGCTACATCCTTTCCTTACACATACTTCCAGTAATGTGACTGAGTCCATGTGTGACTCAAGTTTCTTTTGCATCTTTAAGCCATGTTGACAAGAATGAGATCAAATAAATAAATTTAAAAATACAGTCAGCTCACTCCTGTGCTAGGTGGAACAACTTAGAATTCTTTCCATATGAAAGTAATTTTTATGTAACAACAGTTAGTCTTGGCAAGTTGGCAAAACGTTTTTATCTCAATACTTTTATTTTAAATTAATTTTATGATAACACTTACATTAAAATAAAAGAATCAATCCACCCAAGGCAAATTTCAGTGCCTGCTTTTCTCTTTTCTTTTCTTTGTGAGGATTTAAGCGGCAACATAAAGTAAAGCAGTATAAAATCTACACACAAAAAAAAACCCGTTGTAGGAATCTCATGAAATACCAGCATCATTCTGGTCTCTAAAAACTGATCCAGACAGAAAGACCTTAATAGTGGTGCTTTTCTTTTAGAAATGCACTAGAGTAATATTGTTCTATAGCTGTGGGGAACCTTTAAAGAAGAACTTTGCATAAACTTCATTATGCAGACATGGCTGATAGATGAGCATCCATTAATCCTGAAAATCAGACTGCCTGAAATAAAACCATAGTTCCTTGAAAAAGTATTTTTGTGGACTTCTGTTTCCTTAAGTGGCTTTCCCATGGCCCTCTTGGGTCTTTTGTGATTTTTGTTAACATTGTACATTCCCCCCGCCCCCCCGAATGTCAGGACCAAATACTGACTCGACATTGGTCTTGTCTGCATTTCATCCTTTTCATACACAGTGGTTAAGGTGAAGGTGAGTTCCCTGAACCAGATTCCAAGCCACTTATAGCTTTATGGGGCAAATATTGGATTAAAAGGATTGTGCGCAATTGTTTGTTCATGGCAAGTCATGCTACAGGAGGCCGGATTCCATGATCTAACAGTGTCATTTGATTACGGCACTCCAACGGAGAGGACTGGGCTGAATGTTCTAATCTCAGCCATTAAAAGGAAGCTTTGCTAGACTACAGTTTGATACATTATAATAGCCTGGCCTTGTGATAATGAGGGGCCTGGTAATTGTTGGACTTCCTCCAATTTGTAATTGTATCTGTCTAAAGATTGGATTTTTATTTAACCTAAGAGTACTTAAGCCAATTTCTTTAATTTTTCAGTTAGCTGAGCTTCCCGCTGCTTTTTTGATCTCCTTTTATCTACCCTATACATACTTTTCATTGCAGAATCAAGTGTTTTAGCTCCTTTGTCCAACATTTGTAATCTGTGATTCTTCTCTCTGGAGGCAAGCTGTGAAACATCATTTGTTTTTCTTCCAGTCTCCCTTTCTTCAGGATCATCTATGATGCCTTGCGTGTGTTTTTTTAATCTTTAGTTTCTGCCTATATAATTTGTCAAATATTTTTGATCAAAGAAAGAGCCTTTAGATATTACCACAAAATAGAATCAATCTCAGCTTTTAGTACAAATTAATTACCTCTTCTTCAATTATGTCTCACACTTTTTATCATTCAATTTAAATGACTAGGATACATTTTATTGTAATTGTAGTGATTTAATACAGAAGAGGTAAGTCATTCCTGCCTTACAAGTAACAACAAAAAAATTGTACTGATTTAATACAGAAGAGGTAAGTCATTCCTGCCTTATGAGTCTTACTAACTTCAGGATTGCATTCAAACAATTTTCAGCAATTTAATCTTTTCTGAATGACACATAGCAAAAAGTAAGTTTATTATTTGCTGCTTTGACAACTTCTTCTTCAGAATCCCAAATCTCAGGAGCCGGTGACACTGGATTTTCTGGATGCGGAGCTGGAAAATGACATTAAAGTTGAGGTAAATGGCATTGATAAATCATTGTCTTCATCGTACCTGTTATTCATTATGATTAGAAAAGTCATTTACTTTCCAGAGCAAAGAAAAATCTGTCTTTGAGCTGAAAGTTTGCTGGATCAGTTGCAATATAACAGTTGCTCCCTGCTCCAAACTGGCCTGAGAATGAAGAATTGCCACGTAGGATGGGCACTCCATCATGTTATGTTGAAGGAATCCAGCAAAGTATTGCAAAGGAAATCCCTAGTCTAAGCAAGTATGCATTTCCTAGACCTCTCAGACAAAGAGGGAACCATGTATCAATTCCAGGAGTAAAAGAGTTGCTTTTCCTTACAAATTAGTGGGAAGCAGCTGATATACACATATACACAATAATAAAAACAAAAATAATTGAAAATAGTAATGTGTTAAATAAAAAGCTATGATGGAAATAAATCAGCAGGTAAAAGAGCATAAGGCTCAGGCTGAAGTAAGGTGACTTTCACCTGATATTTTTAGAAATCATGATGGTTCCAGGCAGGACATCTTGGGTAGGTATTCCAAGTCAGAAACCCACCTCAAAGATTCATATGGATTGGTGCACAGTAAGAAGTGAGAACTAGGAAGTTCTTTGATGCAACAGGGCTGATGCATCCTTTGGTATTTAAGAGAGTAGTCAGTGGTATCATTGGTTTGAATTCAAACCATGCTACTGGAAGTCCAGTCACCTTTTCTTTGAAGGATGCCAGTGACTCTGCAGCCTGAAAATGTGTCCTGCTCAGAGTTTGAGGGTGCACAGTGGACTATGGGGCAGGAGAGGGAGTTATCCCGCTCCCCTTCCCACTGATGGACCTGCTTCCATCAGAAGAATTATTAATGTTGGATGCAGTTCCTTGATACGAATCCTTTATAGTGTTTAATTTTGCTTGAATGTGGCACTTGGATAAATCTTTCCAATGTGTCAATGTTTTATGCAGTTCATGAAATGAGCAGGGAATCTTATTCAAAAATAGTGACATTTCTTGAATAGTCTGAATATACTTTATTCTTCTCATTTTCTGGACTAGATTCGGAAAAAAATGATAGATGGAGAAAGTGGAGATCGGACGTTTAGAACATTGGTCAAGTCTCAAGATGAGGTGAGAGAAGAACATTTGCTTTCTGGAAAAAGAATCCTAGTTTTCTGTCATGGAGTGTTGCTGCAGTTGATCCTTGATCATGGCTGCTCACAAGCTTTTCTTCACAAGGGTGTCAATCGACTGTTAATCTGTTGCATTTACTTATGGTTTCGTCACTACACTATGGCTGGGCTCACGTAACACAACAAGCAACCTTACATGGTTTTCGCAGGCACATCTTTTTGCCTGGATATGCCTGACAGACAGTTAAGTGGTTTCTATGCTAGTGTGGTTTCCACCCTCATTGCTGACTCCCCGCTCTATTATCACATTTCCCATCAGCCACCATGCTTGAAATTCAATCCCAGATTAGATGGCTGGAGGACTCTTGAATTGTAGCTCCCACTTTTCTCAGGGTACTCTGTGGTAGCACTGTGAAAACTACAATGCCAGGTTCAGAGAACCAGATAAAGCATGGTGAAGTGTGGAAACCGTAGAAGAGACGGTTGTTTCTTATTCTAGTTTCTAAAAACCAAATGCAGAATAGTGCAAATACACAACAGAAAACTGTGCTTTCTTTCTCTTTCACGGTTAAAAGTTGCATTTACCTAACTGTGACAAACCTCACTGAAAGGGCTGGTTAGATAAAGAAGTGAAACTGGAGGGTTGCAATATCTTTTAAAGAACCTGCAAGCATGCATGAGCACACAATTAATGCCTGATGTAGGAATAGCTGTCATAAATACAGGTTAGGTGACAAGTGGCTGGAGAGCAGCACTTGTGAAAGGGACCTCGGGGTACTGGTTGACTGCAGGCTAAACATGAGTCAGCAGTGTGATGCGGTGGTCAAGAGGGCGAACGTCACCCTTGGTTGCATAGCCAGAAGTGTGGCTTCTAGATCAAGAGAGGTATTACTACCACTCTATACGGCTCTGGTGCACCCGCAACTGGAGTATTGTGCTCGGTTTTGGGTCCCTCATTACAGAAAGGATATAGCCAGGTTAGGGTCAGTGCAGCGTAGGGCCACAAGGTTGGTGGCCGGTTTGCAGGGGATGCCGTATGAGGCGAGACTGAGGGAACTGGGTCTCTTCAGCCTGAAGAAGAGGAGACTCAGAGGGGATATGTTGGCGACATACAAGTATGTGAGGGGATGTCACATGGAGATGGGTAGAGACCTGTTCTCCCCTGCAGAGGAAGGCAGGACGTGCGCCAATGGAGCAAAACTCAAAAAACCAAGGTTCAGTTAGGATGCCAGGAAGCACTTCCTGACAGTCAGGACCCCGAGGGTGTGGAATGGGCTTTCACAAGAGGTCGTTGAGGCCCCATCGGTGAGGGTGTTCAAAGATAGGCTGGACATGCATGGTGGGCATGTCGTAAGTGGAGCCAGCTGGAGCCGGAGGTCAGACTAGATGGCCCGGGAGACCCCTTTTGACTCGCTCTGTTTCTATGTTTGTCAGAACTTGCTCTGCAGCCCCAGATGATGCCTATCTGTTTTGAGATAGATTGCAGATAGAGTACCACATTTTTCTCCAAACAGAATCATATTAAACCAAGCCAGTAAAAAAAATTGTATCATGGCTTAACATTTCTCAACGTGGACTCTGCTCCACAGAAAGTTTATATTATAAGGGTTTATATTGTTTAAATTGCGCATAGAGGGAACTAAGACACCTGTTGCCAAATGTTTGAGCACTATCAGAAACTCTGCAAAGCAGCAGCTGCATAGGTTTTATCGCAGTCATTCCTATAAATCTTTGACTCTGAGTATGACATTGAAATATGCTCCAGCTGGCCAGAAATTATAGTTCTGAATGATGAAAACTGAATAACCCCATTCCACTGGGAGGTAGTAACTGATTAAATCTCAACATGGTATCAGAGGAACTTCTATTTTTTTCTGCCATGTAGCCTCTCATTCATTCATTCATTCATTCATTCATTCATTCATTCATTCATTCATTCATTGTATTATTAGGTGAATTGATAGGTCCCCAATTAAACTTGTACTTCAGTAGTATCCATTTATGCTTCAGCTGAGCCATGTGAGAATACAGCTAGCCCAAAATGAAGAAGTCCATATATGTGTTTGCTTCTGTTAATTTTAACATTGGCTCTGCTGTCTGGCATCTTAGGGTGGAAGAAGGAGTGACGTTCATGCAAATCTTAACTTTGCTCATCTTGTGCCTGATACCTGTTGACCTTGGCAGTCCTGAGTTGCTTTGTTTGAAAGGCAGATGGGTGCCAACTTGCAGAGATTTGTACACACTTCCAGCATCGATGAAAGCAACCTGATTCAGTCTAAAGTGGAAATGTGTAGAAATTGAACTGGGAATCAGAAATGAGATTAATGCAAGAACATGGCCAACCTTTGGTGAATATTTTTTGCAGACTTGTGCTCACCTTTGGTACTTCAAGTGGTTCATGCTCATGTATTGTATGAACTACAGCAAAATTGTGCATGCCCACAAGCACTGGAGAGACAACTAAGGTCATTCAGAGCGAGGTCAGGGAGTAGCATTGGTGGAATTCGCCTATGTCCTATCAGTATCACCTTCACGTATGTTTACCTATCATTCTGCCCTTCCATTTTCATGTCAATCTGCAATGTGTAACGTTCTTACTGAAAATGCATATTTTAAAGTGTGGTTTGTTTATTTATTTATAAAGGCATCTGATCATGTGCCAGAGGTGCAAAGAGGCAAAGGTTGCTTCTGCACTCTCCCTGCCCCATCCTCAAAAACATTTAGATGGCAAATTTTGGTCATCTGACTGTATTTTGTTTCCTTGTGAGGAGGAGAGGCTGAGGCACTGCCTGGATTTGGGAATCTGCATATCCTGAAAATAAGCCCAGGCAACACTGTGGGATTGATTGATTTATCTGCAGTTCAAGTTTACATTCAATCCATTTAAAATGTCTTTCCCTGCCTTCAAACAGGCCCAAAAATTCAATGCAAAAATAAAAAGGGGTCATGAACAGAGAAGGAAACCCAACACAGGGTCCAGTTTTTAAACTCAAATGCTCATTTTTAGAATAGCCAGCAGGAACAGAGATGATTCAAGGATAAAAGGAATACACTAAAGCTGCCACTGGAATGGCCCAGAGCAACCACCTTCTGATGAAGCTTGATGGAATGGCTGGTGGGAGTGACCACTGAGATCTTTCACCCAGCTGATGGGGTGACCCTGATTCCCTTTTCCCTTTGCTGCAGCATGATGGATTAGACTTGCACAACAAGCAATTGTGAAGCAGTTGCCTCACTCATTCTTGCTTGACAGGAAGTTGTGCTGTTGAACTATGAAGCAGAGCTGAAGTGTGGTGGCTTGGATGGGAGTCTCTCTCTGGCTTCCTTTCAGCACAGAAGTTCTCCTCCCTCCTCAGCTGTCCTCCCTTTCTTCTCCACCCTCCTTTGAAGAAAATGCCCACAGGTGTCCCCATGTCAGTGATGCCACCACCATGGGCTCCTCAAGGCAAGGCCCCTGCCATGGGACACCCCTGTAGCCATTGTGGCATTTCAGAGCTCTAATCTGGCTTCTCCAGTCTCCTCTCTTCCCATGAGAATGCCCTCTTTTTTCCCTTTCCAAGTCTGACTTTTCAACAAGATAGGACACTGGGAAAATCACTCACTTCAGGTAGGAGTGCCTTATACAAACAGAGCACAAGGGGTTACAGAGAAGAAAATAAATAGGCATGGGTATGCCTACCCCATGTTGTGCATTGCTGTACTGCGGATGCACAAATAAAGACACTGGCATGGTGAAAGTGCTGTTTTTTCAATAGGAAACAGAATGGGAGATACTAATGGAAAAAGTAGTGACTTTTCTCAGAGGTCTGGGTGGTCTAAATTAAATGAATTTTTCCTTGCACATGCAACCATTCTCAAAGTCCATATTTAACCAATTGACGCTAGAGTCCTGTATGCATTTGAGTGTAAATCTCATGGAATACAATGAGACTTACACCTGAAAAGATTGTATAAGTTTGCAGTGTTCATAAAAGAAGTAGAAAGCATTTTTTTTCCTATCCTGGAGGAAACCCTGTTGCCGAAAGTGACTTGTTATACTGGCCTTGATTTCCAATGGGTTTCTGCTCAGATAAAGCACAGTTAAGCCAGACCTTTTTCTTGTGAATGGAAAAAGATATATACGTATTTTCCTCTTCCCTTATTCTCAGAGCTCTTCCTTGACACTTTTCTTCTAGGTGTGAAAGGATGCTTGTATATTCATAGGCAAAGTTCTGTAATATAATAGTAAAGGATAGTGCAAGATTTTCTGCTCATTGTTGAATCCTAAACTGTATATAATTATCACTGTGCTTTTCAGTACAAATAATATGTGGTCATGCCAAGATGTGAAGCAGGGCTTCTCATATCCTTATGTATATCACATTTATCATATTGGCAGTAGTCTTAAGGTGTGCAGAGGAAAATGTTATTTGGATGTGTCACTGGTATCATTTTTTTTTCATTGTACAGGGTAACTAATTGATCAAAATGAAGGGTGGAAAAAATAGCTGTTGCAGTCTGGAAAAGATTAGATTGAATATATAAGTTTGATTTTTACTAAGCTTCACCATTCTTGAGTAATTTTATCTTTTGGACGTAAAAGAATATAAATGACTGCTACACATGTTCTAAATTTGCAAATCACCTTTCAAAAAGGACTGTAGGTCTTATTCTAAAGGGGGAAAATGTAATAAAATGTGCTGATTTGCCATGTAATTGATTCTGTTAGAATAATTGTTTTTGGATCTTGTAGGCTTTTTAAGCTCTATTTGTTAAGCTTTCCAGAGGTTCTTTAGAAAATGACAGTCTTGGTCAATGTTTTGCAGCGGTACATTGACAAAGGAAACAGAACATACACATGGACAGCTGTGAATGGGACTGATTACAGGTAATAAAGTAGGAATTGGGAAAAGTTCTTAGTGTTTCCACTGGCAAAAATATTTTTGTTTCCTTAACCAGGTACACATCTTTGTATTATATTTTATTCAGATTTATATCCACTTTCCACAGATATATTCAAGCAGTGAACAAAAATACAGTGGCATGAAAACAACCATAAATACAGCAATAAAAGCAATGTGAGACAGTGAATCAGAAATAAAACCACACATGCTTGTCTGTACTGTGAGCCAGAGTTGGCTGGGTCATACTTCAGGGAAAACCTCTGCGAAGCACTGAATTTTAAGCAGATGTCAGAATGTCAGAGCTTGTCTACTATCGCTCAGAAAAGCTTATGTGGGCTTTCAGTAATTATGAGCTTCCAATGAATAGCCTAGGACAGGCACTAGCTTCTCCTGTATGAAATGGCCTGTTTGCTAAGGTTGTCACTGGATGCCTTGCTGTTCCTTCCGTGCTTAGTCAGATGACAACCAGAGAGACAGGCTTTTTCTATGATGGAGCCTGACTTGCAGAACCCTCTTTGGACTGTTCAGTCCCAAAGCAGGTGTGAGCAGATTTCTGCTTCTGCATTGTGTCAAAGCTGTATTCAGTGCTGCTCCTCCTGAATTCCAGGTTAATTGAGAAAATGGGTATAATTCTGTAATTGGGCCATTCTCTGTTTGCTGCATTTTCAGTTCCTTCCATTTATGTGCCTCTTTTTCCTGTGGTGTTTTGATGAACCCAAGTACCCCTGTATAAAAAGTAATTGAAGCTGTGTGCCTGGATGGATGGCTCCTGGCAGTACCAGTCAAAAGGCAATATGCTGCCATTCCATCTTCCTCCACGTAATAGCTATTCAATAGTAAAAAAAAAAAAAAAAAGATGGAGGAAGTGAGGGAAAACACAGGAAGTTTACGGATGGAAAACATCACTGCCATCAAATTCCACAAATGTATCAATACAATTGCATAACAAAATCCTCTTCTGGAAGCACTCTGACAGACAGATGCCTATATAACCAATAATCTGACATTATAGATTGGGAAAGAGGAGCTGTTAGTGAATTGCAATAAAATAAAATGTTCAACATACTCCACCCCCTGCCCCAGGAAAAATTGCAGACCTTTGATTTCGGAGACTCAAATAAGTGACCAACATGCTGATCTTGGCAGAGTCTGCCAGCAGCTGAGCTAACAGCGAAACTTTGTTTGCTGAGGCTGATGTTGGAAGTTAGGGTGAGATGAGTCTATGCTTGCTTTCTAGTCTAGGCTCAATTTGCTGTGCAGAGGATTGAATGGGTCAGCAAATTCTACAGGTGGTACCGCCCAGTTCTCTGCCCCATCTATCCGCTTGTTCTCTTACAGTATATAGATAGATAGGTTTAAATTGTAATGATTTCCCAGAAAACATAATACTAATGGGTGGCTTTTATACAAATTTAATCAATAAATAAATGCAATGTACTCTGCCATTTCATATGGGAGCTAGGCTGAACTCGGAAGCCTATACCTTTAGTGCATGTGTACAAGCTACACTGTTCAAGCATGTATAGAAAGTAAAATGATAGTGCAATTCTTAAAAAAAATCTTGCAGCTATCCTATGATGGCCATTTAAGTAAAAAATGAGGAAATGCACCAACAAAAATGATTTGTCTAAATGTGCATATGCTAATTTATATGGATTGATAAAAATGTCAAAATCAGCATTATTTAAATAGAATGCAATCTATATCGAGACAGTAGGGAAGACTGTAACCCATGCGTCTGCCTGCTACTCAGGCAATGAAGTGTTAATAAGCTGTGGTTCTGATGGTTCCCCACCTTAAAACGGGGTTTGGACCAAGAGCCTTCAAATAGAGAGCTTCAAAGAAAAAATAGTCTTTTCACTACCCTTGAAATCGGCCATCCTAAACTAACCATTAATTTCTGTTTTTTGCATATAGAAAAGCACAGCAACTGCCCCCAAAGAACAAAACCTAGCCATTTTCTCAGTAAATCAGTAAAATGCCACTCTTCTGTTTTTAGAGTCTACCCACGGAGCCAAAGATCTGCTCTTCAGGCCACCTGGCAAGCTGTGAAACAATCCCAAGCAGATTCTGTGCCTGAAATAATTTGAGACAGAGGGTCCATCCCATCCTCCTCCTTCCTGGTTATTCATATGCTCTGACAATCACTTAAACTTAAGTAGTGAATGTTATTAGATGGTGGGTCTTTTAAAAATGCCAAAATCTGATACGAGCCATCCATCATGAGCAACCATGGTTTCCTATTTTCTTATCCAGAATTTTAAGCAGGTGATTTCCTGTCTTATTATTCCACCCCACTGAACACTAGTTATCTGTTTGACATACGTATGCCTCAAAGTCTTGTCCAATTTCTTTCTGAGCTGGTTTTTGTCAGCTGAAGGAACAGCACCGAACTCTCATGAGACCCACAGTGCAGCACACACATTTATACATAACATTATAGGTTTTAATTAGAGTTTCTGTTTAGTAGTAACTGTTAATAGCAGGGAAGCCTCTCTTGATTTCCCTTGGGGTGAGTTTGTGGAAAGCTGTCATCAAATAATTAGTCATTCTACCATGCACGGATCACATGGTAAAGCCTTCATGTGTGGCTCAATATTCTACTGCTTTGTTTTAATTTTAACTTCTGCCAGCTTCTCCAGGAAATCCTAAGAATCATGCAGTTCTCTCCCATGTTTTTTTTTTCTAATTCATTTTTATTATGAAATTTCAAGCATGCAGGCACACACACAAATCCTATTACATGTTAATGAAACTTGAGGCCACAGTGGTAGAAATGAAAAGTGTGCCTCCCTGAGAATAGTTTAAAGCCTCTTGCAACATTTACACAAGGTCTCTGAGGGATGGTTGCTTATTATGAAGAGTATTAGATAAGTTATATATTAAACATAAGGCCGAATCGGATGTGTCTTAATTAGGCCTTGAAGCCTTGCAAAACAAAGTCAAATGTATGGGCCATGCACAAGCTCTTGAGCTGTTTGTGTCTGGAAATATTTTAGAGCAACTGCAACATGTCAACTGACTGACATTTGCTGTCTGCCAGCTGTAGAAAAACTTTCACTGTGGGCATAGAAGCAGAAATATCCAATTTGTCTTTGGTCCACAAAACATTTCCCAGACCCGTGTAAACAATACGCCTTCAGCAAATGTTACTAAGGCAAATGCACATGTTCAGGTAACATTTCCCTCAGGATGTATGGTACTCACATGGTTCCTAGTGTTCCTTTGGAATGAATGGGATCCTTGGAAATTCCACATGGCCATATTCTGTCCCACCAAAACAATGTAGCGCTCAGTTACATCAATGCATGAAAAGTCCATAGGAAACAGCAATAGCTGCCTTATTAAACAGGACACCCGGCTTGCCTGCCCTTCTTTTTAGTGCTTTCAACTCATGTGCAACTTTTCACTTGCCCATCAATACTAAATTTCAAAAAAGTGTGGCCATTAAAGAAAAAAAGGGGTGATTCATCCGTAAAAGTCAAGTTGGAGTAGGAAGACATCTCACTTCAGTATTCCATCTTGTATTTGCAGGGGTTTGGATGCAACAGAGCTGAAAGCAGTAAATGGAAGTAGTGAAGTAGCTGGCCAAATAAATGTGTTCCATGAAACTGTGTGTCTGTATCTTGTGGCTTGTTTTCCATTTCACATCAAAGCTGGGGGAAATATTGGGCTGCTGAAGCCACGGGCAATGAAGACATGTGGCTCTGTTTTCACTGCTTGTGCTTGTCTTTCCTCTACAGTTTGGCTTTGGTATTGCCATCCTACAGCTTTTACTATATTAAAGCCACCATTAATGAAGCCCTAATTCAGGCGAAATGTAAGTCCCTTCAAGGTTTCTTCAGATTTGGAATGTTACTGTGCAGTATGTAGAATTTTCTTTTCTTTTAAGAAGCAGAGTGTTGAGAGCCATGAAGTTTGTGAAATTCACTAGTGTTTCCATGATGTGACCCCCAATCTGCAGCAATGATTCTAAGTCATTGTGTGAATGTGCAAGGTACAAAAAGTATTCTACGCAAGTAGAATATGTTCTGCTACCCTAGTTGCACTAGTGAACCTTTATCCCATCTCCTTGCTTATGTACCTACCAAATCATTGCTTTGCGTATCCTCTGTTGCTGTCTTTTTAAGGGTCTGATAGCTAATGTTTTGCATAGCCCACCTGCAAGGAATGTGTTGCCCAGGCACAAATTTAGCAGCTCTGCTTCTGTATCACGCACTGTAGCTGCAGCACGTTATGTAGTAGTTTATCCTAAATTAAATGAATTTTGCTTAGTTTGGGGTTGTAGCTGGATTGCTTTGAAAACTGCATACTGTGGTGTGTGTGATCAGAGTGGATGCAACTGTGAAGGTGTGTCATTAGGATTCCTTTGGAAATAAGCTTATTTGGCCTGGACTGAATTGGTCAGAAAATATTCCCTTAGAGGTTCCTCTGTAGTACCTGGAATGAGAAGGAGCATGTGACAATGATAATCATGTTTCCAGTGTATCTGTGTTGCTAAATACTGCACAGATTTGCTCATGCCTTGGCTTCACTGAATGCAATATTTATTTATTATGTTTCTATCTCACTTTTGATGGGGGTAGAGAACCCAAGGCTGCTTTAAGAATCACCTATGGCCTCTCCATTTCATTTTCACAACCTTCCTGTGAGGTAGGTTAGGCTGAGAGTCAGTGAATGGCCCAAAGTCACACATCTAGCTTCATGGCCAAGTGGGAACTGGAACCCAGATCTGCCACATCCCAGTCTGACATGCTAACCCCCAGCCAATGCAGGATTGCCAACCAAGATTCCCACTTGTGGGGCAATTTGCAAGAGAGAAGCAGGGCCCAGAGAGTGCACTGCTTGCACCTGAAGAAACTGCAGGTGAGGTGTGTAATCCTCTTTTTAAAAATATGATAGGTTTCTGTGCTGTCCTTCAACTGGGGCAGTTTCCAGGGCTGTTCACATTACAAAATAAAATAGGCATCAGATTACTTCAGTACAGTACAAAACGCATGTTCATAAAAACAACATATGGTCTTTAAAAGCAGCAATTGAAACAGGTTAAAATACAGACTAGAAAGTCTTTCTCTGGCAGCAGAAAGATGAACATCTCACAGAGGAAATTTCATGAGCAAGGCAATGCTACTGAAAAGGGCTTTCTCCTCTGTTGATACCCTTTGGGGACACCCAAAGCAGAGCTTTCCTGCAGGTTGCTGTGTGAAAAGGGGTTCTATCAGATATCCAGAGACCAAGATAAGGGCAGTTTTACAAGTAAACAACAACCAATATGTTCTCAGAAACAGACCCAAAGTCCATGAAGCTCTGGACACTTGTATGATGCATTTCCAGTGCCTAGACCTGTTTTACAACCAAGCAGCTGCCTTTTGAACCTACATCATTTTCCATTCTGCCTTCAAATGCAACCCCACATTTACAAACAGACCAAAGAGCTTCGACTTTTCGGCGACATAGAAATGTAATAATACAAATCCTTTTGCCGACTATCCATCAGCAGGGCTCACCAGTCCCTGCTGCTTAGTTCTTCCCTGCTGCTTCCTTGTGAATTTCCACCCCTGTTTCTAATTTCCAGTAGTAAACATAGGGTTGAAAAAGCTTTGTTTGCTGCCAAGTGTACCTTAAACATTGAGCATCCACTGAGGAATGAAATCAAGTTTGATCCTTATGAAGTCTTATATATATATTGGGGAAAGACTACCCAATTTCTTCTCTTGATTGATTGGGTTTAGCAGGTCACATGTCATGCTGCTTGGCCTATTTTATGGTTTGGCATTGTACTTGTACTTGGCAGTTCTCTCTGTTGCTGAAGGTCTTAGTGAAGACCTCCTACATTGCCATGCTTTGTATGTCTCCAGTACCACTGTGTGCATTCTCAACATCTTAGATTACTCAAGTCAGTAGACTGCTGACTTGGGAGCAGTTACATATCCCAAATAGCTGTCCCAGATAATGAATGATTGGCCCTGTGTTGCTAGCTAGATCACAACTAGATTGCAAGCTGCTTCGTAGGCATGTGATGGATAGATGTTTTTAGGGACACACCATGCTCCGTCATTTGTTTCCTGACATTCTGAAATTGGGAGCAATTTGTAAAATGTGAATGCAAGATGAATGTCTCTGGGCTGATTTTGTTAGGGGCCCCGTGAATCAGTATCTTCTTTTTGCAGACCCTTGAAATAGCTGCAGTATATAGAAGGTACATTAAAGAAATAATTGACAGAAGACATGTGTTCAAGTCTTCAAAGGTGTTTGTCTTTTCTCCAGAGCACAGCTGTACAAAAAAGGAACCTCTGATCTCTCTTTATGCCACAATATTTTTATTCAAGGGGCTGGTTGAATAAAATATTGGTTTGTCACCCCTTTTGCTTTACCCTGTTTTTTCTGTTTCCCTGCCTTCTCTTTCTGATGGATTATCACAGTCCCAAAGGGCAAGTATATTCTTGTTGCTCAATTTCCCTTTGTTTACTGCTGTTGATATTTCCTCCTTATATTTCCATTCCTCCTGGATGCTGTCCTTTGTATCTTTCATATCAGGGCCTCCCCTTTGCCAACTTGGTATTATAAAGACAGAGAATATCACGATGCCTCTTTTAAAGTATGTTTTCCAATTTATTGTTGCACTCTTCTTGTTTGTTTAACCATGTCACTTGCCTTCTTTTCATGAAGAAACTCATTTCCCTGGCCCCTAAACATACGTGTTTTAAACAACCCTGAAATGAATGTATGCAAAGTAAAATCTTTCAACAATGGCATATTCTGCAAGCACTTTTGGTTTTGGCTTGGCAGTCTGACAGCTCAATTAAAGTATGGTCATGCGTAGTGAGTCAATAATGTGCCACCTTTAACTTGCACCAGTTGTAAGATTGCCTCTGGTTATATGTTGTCCTTTTATGATAAGTAGATATGTTCCTCTTCTAATACAAGAATATCCATGCTGGGATAAATATTGATTAGGGAAGGAATCTCTACTGGTGCCTAGCTGCTACGCATTTAATACTTGTGCCTTAAATATCTACATGTGCTTGGCATTAAACCTGCAAAACATCAGCTTTTGTGATATTTTGCCAGGTAGTTCTTGGTGTATCCTACGATAAGCACTTTAGGTTGGTTTGAATGTTACTGATCCCAGCTCAGGTTTAGTAAGCTAAGAATGAATGTCAAGCCCACATACTTCCCTTAGTTCCTCCCCTGGCTTTAAGATTACTTTAAAACACAGTTTTTGAGTAAGACCAAGTGTAAAATTAAACCACAGTTTCCAGTTCCAGATGCAGAAGGGAGGGGGCCAGGGGAAGCATGTGCTCACAATCTCTCTTTTCTGGTTGAATTTACCACGGTTTGTTCATCCAGGATACTTATGTCTGAGCAAGTCCTAAGAACAGGCTTAGTGCTTGGAATTTATTCAGTTGGTTTGGCTTTTTAAAGAAATCACCAAACAGCTCAGTGCTTATAGATGCTAATTTAGCTTATTTGATGTTGCATTTTCATCTTTTTAGTTGCTGAAACTCTGAAGCTAGATCGCTTTGACGATTACGGATACACACTTTTAGCCCCAAGGTGGGTCATTTTTCCTGGTGCATGCAATATATGTCCAGGCAAGTAATTTTGCAAGTGTGAATAGGATCTAGGCTATAAAATGCATTGGGAACTGAACAAAATGCATTAACAAAACATCGAGGGGCAAACTCAATGCATACTGCTCCTGATGCTGCCATGCAAATCCTGAGCACAGAGAACTTAACACATCCAGCCCTGCAGGATGAGGGTTCCAGGGCTGCAGAAGCTCTTCCATGCAGTGGCTCATGTATGCAGGCTGCACTAAGGCATGGATAGAACAGGTAAACCTGAGAGGAGCCCTAAGACAGTATCCAGTGCTCCAGTATCCAGCACCCCCGGTGCCCGGCTGTTTGCATTGCACCAGCAGGACCCCTTGCTGGCGTGGAAGGAAGTGAGTGCTTCCTCAAACAATCCTGGAAACAAGGCACACTGTCTTCCCACATCATCAGCAGTGGTTCCTTTGGTCACCTGGGCAGTGGTGGAGATTGGCTTATTTCCATCACAGCAACTTTTCCTTGGGAGAAGTGACTGCACAGACTCCTGCTGCTTTTGGCACAGTGATGTTGCAATGGTGCTTTTTTACCAGCAGAAAGGCTAATACCTACTAACCTCCTCAGTTTTCTCCCTTCCCCTGAGCATGGCTTCACTCACAATAGGTGGGAAGGACAAGGAAATGACTTGTCCATTAGACAGACCTATTAGCAATGGGGAGCCATTAGATATTAGGAATGAGAACCCATTAGCTTTACCAAAGACCTGCTCCAGGTGGAGAGGAAAACGGTTAGAATCGGTTTGTTAACATGACACAAGAGAACTGCCTGTGATGCTGGTTTCTTGTGGGCCTGGCTCTGGGGCTGCTCCTGATTAGCACTTCGAAATCTGCCACTACACTATGGCCTGCTTAGCCTCGCCTTGCCGTCCCTTTGCTGAGTCAGCCTCCTTTCCAGCTTGCCATGGGCTGCACCATCTGTCTCTGGCCCTTGGAATCCTTGCTTCTTTGCTCTGGATCATGACCAGAAGCCCATCTTTAGTGGTGTCGTCTGCCTCTGACCTTTTGATCCATTCTGTGTGGTGCTGCAGTTGGAGCCCCACCAGACTTGGACCCACAGTCTGCCGCTGAGGTTCACCAAGGTCCAGCACCAGCCAGTTTTCATGGCAGCGGAGAGATTTCAGTGGTAGGGTGGGAAGGTTCTTGGAAAAATTTGTCTGAGGTTAGGTATATGAAATTGGATAGAAGTGGAACTTTACGGGACAGCTTATTCGAGGGTTTGTTTGTTTGTTTGTTTGTTTTGTGTGTGTATACATGAGAATTAGAGCAGTGTTAGCTCTAAGATCAGTTATCTCAGAAGAAGAAAGTAAAGGAACAGAGGCTGTTATTTAGGCACATTGTATTGTTCAGAAAACAATAGTCTCACGCGGAGTAGAACCAGAGAATTGGCCAGAAATATTGTGCTCTAGGGGAATGATTACCTGACACAGCATCAAGGAACATGTGCAAAACACTTCTTCCATTGTGATGTTGCCTCACAATTTAAAGTAGTGGCCCCACTGTCTGTAATGGTCCTTTCTATTAGTGTGATGTTGTGTTAGGAAGGTATTTTCCTAATTGGCTCAAGACCAATCATGGGGAGAAAAGAAGCTCACTTTTGTGTTTCCTTGTTTTTGGCATTCAACCTATAGAATCATACACTGCAGTTCTCTGGGTTGTCAACAACCCAGAGAACAACCCAGAGAACTGGGTTACTTGTCCATACCCTGCTACATGACAGCAAGTATCAGAGAGGCTGTTCTTTGGTAGCAGAAGATATGCAAATTCTAATATGCACAACCAGACATATAGGCAGTTATTTTCTTTGATACATTAAAAACAAATTTAAAATCTGTTCTTTTTTCTAGAGATTACTGTAGTCCCGTGAAAACAACAAACAACAACACTGCATTTCTTCTGAATTTCAGTGAATTTCTTGATCGATATACACCCCAATACCCTTCATGTAAGTTTTACTTTTTGTTAAAGCAATTCATTCTAAAGAACATAAAGTTCTGTTGGATGTTTTCTCTAACTATAACAACAGATCTCTGTGCTGTATTTATGTAAGCAAGTTAACTGAGCTTCTCACTCTACTTCAGATCCTGTTGCCTATCCAAGAAATATGGAATGAATTTACATTGTCTGGGGTTTTGTATGATGGTTCAAATTATCATGTGGTAAACTGCTAATTGGAAACTCCACATATTGGTCTCAAGAAAATTTGTGAAAAATATTGTTAAAGATGGAATGATTAAGCCAAAGAACAAGCTTTAGAAAGGGAGAATCAGCAATGCTACTGTAAACAGAAGTTTTGCCTGACCAGTTCTGGCCTGCCTGAGTTGGCTGCCTGGATGCCTCTGGTCCCAAGTCAAGGTGCTGATCTTAACCTGTAAAGCCCTACACAGATTAGAAGTACAATACCTGTCAGAGCATCTCTCCTAACCCCGATCTTCCCTCTGATCTACACAATGCTCAGCCTCTGGGCCTTCCTCTGGGTGCCAACCCCTCAAGGAGCTTTAAGGGTAGCAAGTAGATGGAGGGCCTTTTTGGTGGTGGCCCTTCATCTTTGGAATAACCTCCCTGCTGAAGGCCACCTGGCACCAAACTTGCCATCTTTTTAGTGTCAGGTTCAGACAGCCTTCTTTGTGGAGGCCTTGAAAGACTTTCCTGATCTTCCAGGTGGGTTTTACTCCTGGCTTTTTAAATTGTCTTTTAATATTTGTTTATGATATTTTAAAATAATTATTAATTATTAATTCTTACTGTTTTTATCTGTTGTATTTTATTGTTTCTATATTTTGTTGTATTTTTTGTAGCTTCAGCTATGGGCAGTATAGGGATGAAATTATTATTATTAAGCATTTAGGTAGGGGTATTCTGGTAGTCATATTCAGATATATTCTCCAATATTCTTGGACCTTCAAAAAGCTTTTGAGAAGGTCCCTTGTCAAAGAGTTTGGAAAGCTTAGCAGTCATGGAATAAGAGGACTGACCCTGTTATATATTGTGAATTGGCTAAATTAAAAACTCAGTGAATAGAAGATAGATGTAAACAGAAAGGAGTGAAATAAGTAGCACCCTCCCCCTCCAGTGTATAATTGGAAGAGAAAATCCAGATTCCCAGTATCTCATATGGTTCCTCAGTCTCTCTCTTTTTCTCTTAAACAGTCTAATGTACATCCTGAGTTTCTTCTCCAAAAGGATAAGCGCAATGAAGCTAACAAAAGTGTATAAAATTATTACAGTCAATAAATATATAACAACGCAGTGAAATAACACACAAGGCTAAAAGCCAGCAGTGATCCAAAGAGCAATACAATCAAAATTCTGTTGGAAAAATCCAGCTCAATGCAGGGATAGGGAACTTTGTACCTAGAGTGCACTCCTCCCCTGCAAAACCTTCTTTTTTGCAACCAACTCTGGCTCAGAACACACTGAAATCTTCGGTAGGACCTTATCAGTAGCTCTTAAAGAATGGCAGCATGCACATCTTTAGCCATTGAGAGAGTTAGTACAGTGCAGCCAAGTGGTTAGAATGATTGGTGTGGATATGGGAAACTGAAATCTAGCTCCCTGTTAGCTTCTGGTACTTATTTGGATAATCTAGGGCAAGGCACTGCCATCCCAATCTACTCCACAGAATGCAGGGATAAGGATCTAGGACTCCTTTAAGGAAAGACAGGTCAGGGCCTAAGATATCCACAGAGTTAGCATGACCTCTTGGCTTTAAAATGTGCTTACTCTGAAACACAGATACCAAATTTCAACTTCAAACAAGTGCTGAGATCAGAGTTGGCTTTAATTATGGGCAGAGGCCATAGCATAGGCTAAGGCCATGGCTCAGTCATCTTTGCATGAACAAGATCCAGTTTTGTTTTGTCATTTCCAGGCAGAGCTGGACAAGAGTGCTGTCTGAAATCCCAGAGAGCTTCTGTCAATTCATAGTGTGCCAGTAGGACCAGTGGACTGATAAGGAAATTCCTATGGTCTTAACTGGTATTTTGCTTGTTTCCTCTGGTAGGTAATGGTATGGTTACAAGAGCTTTGCTGGATGCAGGATTTACAAGTGAACTTGTTCAGAATTACTGGAGTAAACAGGACCTGTGAGTATTCTTTTGCTTGCCTCCATTACCCTAGCTTTTTGGCTATTCCCAGTTTCACTTGTTATCAATAATATCATGTCGAAATTTATGTTTCTTATAATCAAAATATAACAGAAATGCACAATTGCATTAATATAGGTGCATACTTAATAGTTTGCTTTAAAACACTTAAGAAAAAGCTCTTGTGAATATCATAGCTACAGAGTTGACCATCATTCTAAATTTACTTTGTTTCAAAGCTTTCTCCTTTTTTCCACAGTGAGGAAATTACGGCACGATTTGTAGCTACTGATGGAGGAATCACTAGAGTTTATCCAAAAAGGTAAAGATCCATTGAAATATCGGTAATGCAACAGAGATAATGAAATAGACTTCTTAAGATTGTGGCCAGAGTTGTTATGACACCCGCTGAAGATGTCGCTAATTATGACATATTAAAGTGGTAGTCTTCGCTCAGAACAGAAACTTCTTGGCTGCCCCAAAAATAAAACATTCCTGTTCTAACTCATATCCTAGAGGAAAGTTTCCTTCGGAAAGTGGTATCCGGTGTGAGTAAGTATCATAAGGTTTCATAAACTCCAGAATTCACTTTTGAACAAATTGAATTTTTAAATTAAGTGAATTGAAGTAATGTAATGTAGAACAGCAGCAGGAGCAAAAGCTTTTGCTGGATTCTCTTTCTAATAGTATAACCAAATCCAATAAAATAATTCAGACATAGGCCATGGTGTTGTTGACTTTTTGAAAAGCAGCTCAAACTTGCCTCTCCAATCACTTATGAACATACTCTCCTCTTCAGAAGCGGCTTGCCACATGATATGGAGAAATTCAAGAAATCCCTCAAAGCTCCATATTACAATAAAACAAAGCTACAGTCACAACATATGAAATCTAGTGTTCATAATCAAAGCAATTTCATAATAACTATTAAGTTTCACAGTTGCAAGACAGCTACTCAGAAGTAAATCCCATTTTTAACAATGGGGCTACTCTCAGGGAGCATTGCATGAGATCGTAGCCTCAGATTGGAAGTACATTCCTGAAAATAAGCTCCATTGAACTCAGTGGCACTTACTTCTGAGCAGACATGCATAGGATTGCCCTGACAGATGGGGGGGATTAAATACCTTGTAAGCTCAAATTAAAAACTGATATTTGTGTCTCATGTTCAGTGCAGGCGAATATTGGACAGAAAATCCTGAAACTTATGAACAGAGTTTCTACAAAAGGAGCTTAGATAATGAGAACTACATCTTCACAGCTCCCTTCCTCAACAGTAAGTCACTGGACACCCAACTGGCATTAGGAAAGTCCAGGGACCTGATTCTGAGCTTGCTTCCAGTGTGCTGCCAACCTTGAGGTAGTTCCACAGTAAAAAGCTGGGCAGGCTGGGAGATGTTTAGGTACTCTGCAGATCCAGTTCTTTTTGGGAGTTCAGATTTTAGGATTAGGAAAGCTCTAAGAAAAGTCTACCTACTGCAAGTGCTTTCTTGGATTGTGTGAGCCTACCAACAGCAATGCAGTCATGAGGACGGCTGCTGTTTTGCAGTGATCAAAATAAACAGACCACTGCTTGAAATTTTGCAAAGAAATTTCAGTAGCAACCTTCAAGGACCTGATTGTTTGTAGTTTTAGCATTTGCGTGCTGCTCCAATGCCATGTGGAACTAGGCTTATTGACTAGTACACTGGTTAACAGAAAACAGGTATGGCACAAGCTATCCATCATCTGTGACTAAGGAATTTTGCAAAAAAATCTGGCAGAGGATGGATAATGCCTGCAGGGGGTTTTCCCTAAAGCAGTCCCACATGTCTGTTTTCTGGAATTCTTAAGCAATGCTATAAATAATTATAACTAAGGAAAAACTTAACCCTAACTTTCATACTTCAGTTAGGACTTCTTCCTGTATTATGGATTTCATGCAAACGCATATTCCTGGGGAGAGGGGTTAATACTCATGGCTGAACTACACTGTGCACATATTTATTGATTATGTCTCAGGCAGTGCACAATCATATCAATATTATATTTTGCATGGTGTTTTTAATTCATGTGTATATGTACTTGTGCTTCAATCCTGGGCACCCAAGAAAGAAAGACAAAAAGAAAGAAAGAATTGTAGAAAGTGGTAAATTTAATGTCTACAGTGGTCTCTCAACAACGTCCCCAAATTGAAACAACTGTTCTGTGGATAGCTAACACTTTGGTTCTATTCTACAAACAAAATCTGTATTTTTGCTTGCTAACAAACAGGGCCTATTTTGTAAATATCCCTGATTCACAATGCTATGAATGTGCTAAAGAGAATACCTGTGTTGTCTTAGTGTCTGCACTAGCCATATACATAATTCTATTGTTGGCACTACCTAAAGTTAGTAAAATATTCTCATTAGGAAAGATGGCCATAGCATAACTGAAAATTAGCAGTTCTTCAACCATGTCCTTGTACAACACCTGTGCTGCCTGAAAGTCTATCTGCAGTCACATCAAGAAAGTTTCTTATTAAAACAAAAAACAAACACCTGCAGTCCTTGGATGGAAGAAAATCCAAACTTTGCTTGCCATTATTGCTGTTAAGCAAGCAATTAGTGCCCATAAATGCATCAAATAATGTTAATTACATTTTTTCAATGAAAACAAATATCATGCTAAAGTTAATGAGGCTTCACTCCCGATATCTTTAAACACCTCATTTATACATAAGAATCATCAGATGGCAATCCACTTGATTAATTCTTATTTGATGCTTTGATTTCAGTTCACTTGCAAATCAGAAAATGGCAGGATGGTTGCATAGTTATCAATGGGAATGTTGGTGTTTTCTTTTTCTTCTAAATCACAGGAAGTATCTATGAAGATGGCATTATGGTAAGCAAGGCTGTGAAAATTACCGTCAATGGAAAACTACTGAAACCTGCAGGTAAGAATGAATGGTACTGAGATTCTACCCCTGCCACACTCACACACAAATACATTTTAATTAGATTTAGTAAAACACAATCTATAGTCTTGTTCTGAAGCACAATGTGTGTTACCAGCTTTCTTCTAAATCAGGCTTTATCTTTGGCTTTGCTGAAGTTCTCACAGTCTATTAATAAAACTCTTCTTCTTCTTCTTCTTCTTCTTCTTCTTCTTCTTCTTCTTCTTCTTCTTTTTAAATGGAAGCCCCAAGTTGTGCCTAGATATTTTCTGCTTTGAGAAACTGGGAAAGATTTCCATGTTAATGTTTGCTTTCTTCTCCTTTTGTTTCATACATTTCCTGTTAGTTGTTGGAGTAAAAATCAATGTAACCACCTGGATGGAAAATTTCACAAAAATCACAACAAAAATTCAGGTGAGGAACTGACAAGTGTCAGTGTAAATGTTTGTACATCTTAAAGGCTTTATTCACCTCTCCCCATTAAACCCATTAAATCCAGGATCATTTTTCATGCCCTTGATATGCATGTTAGTAGCCAATTGGAAAGACTGATTCTATATTTCATACACAAATAAATGGGCAGAAGGTATTTGTTTTCCTTATATTTTAATTAATCCTGAGAGTCATTGACTAAATTGAAACAGTATAGAAATGTTTTAAATAAATAAAATTGTTGCTGTTGTTTTTTCATGTATATACTGGCCAATAGCCAAAACTCTCTGGGTGGTTCATATAAAAAACCCAATACAGAAAGAATAAACCAGCATAACAGTCACTAATTTAAAACAGAATTTAGGAACATTAAAAAAGTTAAATGCATTCAGTGGACTGAACAAGTAGCCCTCTCACAGCCCTTAAGTGCCTCAACATGGGTGGCAGCCTTAACCTAGTACTGAAAAGGCAACAAAGTTGGTGCCAGGCAGGCCTCAGTGGAGAGCTTGTTTCATAGCTGGAGGGGGTCCAGTGAGAAGGCCCCTTCCTTGGTTGGCCCCATCCGTCTGGTCAGAAAATGGCCCACGAACAGCATCTCTGCTTTCGCTGCTTCAGACTCAGTAGAGCATGCTTGCACCAATAGATGCAAGGGTAGGAATCAAAAGAGGCAAAATCTGCTTAGATAAAATTGGGAGAAGCTGGATACAGTCTCTACATGTTCAATTAATCTATCGGATACAGTCTCTACATGTTCAATTAATCTATCGGATACAGTCTCTACATGTTCAATTAATCTATCAGACACTTTAGATCTGCAAAGACTGCAAAGAAGTTTCAAATAATGTCTTCAAGACCCAAATGCCATGTGGTTTTCCAAAGGTGCGTAAGTGGAAGGACATGCCCTGTTCATGGACAGGATATAATGTAGAGGATTTGCAGACACCAGTGACCATGCAGAGGCATTTCTATAAAGGGTTTTGAGAGACTGAAAGCTGTCCCGAGACGGGGATGGGATAGAGAAGCGTTAGAGAGATAGAGAGATAGTCAGCAGTCATCTCACTGTGGAAAGTAATGCACAGAGAGTGACTAACGCATTGGGAAGTTGGGGGTTGAGGAACATTAGGAATTTCTGCCAAAAGTTAATCTTTCATCCCAGCAGCTAAATCATATTTTGAAATTTGACCTGGCTGCAAAAGTAGCACTGGCTCAACAGTTTGCTTAAAAATACATTTCATAAAATGTGCTATTCTTATGTTTTTTAGTGCAAAAGTGAACTATGTGGATGTGAAAGGAACAGTGAGGTAAGAATACTTTTGCTGTTGTCGCATACATTGAAGCCGATCAATTGCACCTCTCACTTCTTTGCTGGCCTTCTTGTCAGTGCCCTGACCTATCTTATAAACCTGTAAGAATTACAGCAATCCAAGATATTTGTAGTACTTTGCACACTCGGATGTGCTATGTAAATGCTAAGCATTCTATTCTTTTGTTCCAGAGATGTGCAAAAGCATCTCCAGGCAAATCCACTTTGATATGCAGTCACATCGAAGTCCACACTTTGGAAATATTCTGAGAAATACAAAAATTCCTTGGTCACACGTAGTTTATGTATAACTAAACTCCAGTAGTTAATAGGCTGAGCACTTTTTAAGGAGTACTTCTGCTCCTCCTCAAGAGTTGTTGATCAGAGAATAAAATGTAGATGAGAACCTTGTAAGTCACTTTGGATTCCTTGCAAGATGGTGGTGTACAAATGCAATGTAGTAGGAATAATAAAATCTTAGTTTACCATTTCAGTGTAAAATATATGTTCTTCTTTTATGTTCCTGTTTTCCTGCACTTTGTCTTTCTGGCAGCATGTGGACTGTGTTATCCTTGATGATGGGGGATTTCTCCTGATGACAAATCAGGATGAATATTTTTCAGAGGTAAGCGTGAGATTTAAGAGTGGTACAGATTAGGTTGTCTAACCTCTTAAAATAGGAACTGCTTTCAATGACCAGGGTTATGTGGCACAAATGCAAACAACAGATATTAACACTACCTATAGTGTATCCTTCGAAACATATATAGAGCAGGGCTTGAAAAAAGACAGTCTTAACATTTTTGGCGGATCTTGGTGGCATGTTTGCATCTATCACATGCTCTCTTCCTGGATTTGATAAGCAGCCTGGTGATTTCACAGCTGTCACTTTTTAGAAACATAGAAACAGAGCGAGTCAGAAGGGGTCTTCTGGGCCATCCAGTCTGACCTACGGCACCAGCCGGCTCCGCTCACGACATGCCCACCATGTGGACATCCAGCCTATCCTTGAACCCGCACTGATGGGGCCTCAACGACCTCTCGTGGAAGCCCATTCCACACCCTCGGGGTCCTGACTGTCAGGAAGTGCTTCCTGGAATTCAAATGGAACCTTGGCTCCCTGAGCTTTGCTCCATTGGAGCGTGTCCTGCCTTCCTCTGCAGGGGAGAACAGGTCTCTACCCATCTCCATGTGACATCCCCTCACATACCTGTATGTCACCAACATATCCCCTCTGAGTCTCCTCCAGGCTGAAGAGACCCAGTTCCCTCAGTCTCACCTCGTATGGCATCCCCTGCAAACCGGCCACCAACCTTGTGGCCCTACGCTGCACTGACTCCAACCAGGCTATATCCTTTCTGTAATGAAGGGCCCAAAACTGAACACAATACTCCAGTTGCGGGCGCACCAGAGTCGTGTAGAATGGTAGTAATACCTCTCTCAATCTAGAAGCCACACTTCTGGCTATGCAACCAAGGGTGGTGTTCGCCCTCTTGACCACCGATCACACTGCTGACTCATGTTTAGCCTGCAGTCAACCAGTACCCTGAGGTCCCTTTCACAAGTGCTGCTCTCCAGCCACTTGTCACCTAACCTGTACTTATGACAGCTATTCCTATGCCCCAAGTGCAAGACCTTGCACTTATCCACATTGAACGCCATCCTGTTGTCTCCTGCCCACTTCCATAGTCTGTCCAGATCCTTTTGGATCTGGAGTACCTGCTCTTCATTTGTGGCCACTGCTCCAGTTTTAGTGTCGTCTGCGAATTTGATCAGCAGACTGTTCACCCCTTCTTCCATGTCGTTAATGAAAAGATTAAACAGGATCAGCCCCAGGACAGAGCCCTGGGGGACCCCGCTTGTCACTGGCCGCCATCCTGATGATTCCCCGCTAACGGTTACCTTCTGCTTTCAGTCAGTCAACCATGCCCTAATCCACCAGACAGTGCTTTGGTGTATCCCAAAACTCCTCAGTTTCTCCACCAGGATATCATGGGGCACTTTGTTAAAGGCCTTGCTGAAATCCAGGTATACCACATCCACTGCATCCCCTCCATCTAGCCATCGTGAAACCTTGTCATAGAATTCCACAAGGTTTGTCTGGCAGGACCTGTTTTTGTGGAAGCTGTGTTGTGTGGCTGTCAGCCTCCCTTCCCTATCTAGCATCACTAGATCTCTCTCTATTATGAGCCTTTCCATTGTTTTTCCTACAATGGACGTAAGGCTAACTGGTCTATAATTTCCCATTTCCCTTCTACTACCCTTTTTGAAGCTTGGGACCACTGATGCCACCCTCCAGTCCTCTGAAACTTCACCCGTTCTCCACGAGGTCTCAAAAATGGAGGCCAGCGGGCGTGAGAGAACCCCGGCCAACTCTCTAAGTACTCTTGGGTGTAACCCGTCAGGGCCTGGCGCCTTTGTAATGTCCAATGCCCTGAGGAGCCCCTCGACTTCAAGGGGGGTGACTCTAATCTGTGCCCCTAAGTCCCCAGCCTCATCTAATCTCCTATGCGGATATCCCCCGTCCTGCTTTGGGGAGAACACAGAGGCAAAATAGTCATTTAGCATCTGTGCCTGCTCCCTCATATCAGTCACTGGATCTCCTTCCTCCTTATTTAGTGGTCCCACCACTTGTCTCCCCTTCCTCTTCCTATTTACATGCTGAAAGAAGCCCTTTTTGTTGCTCTTGATATTCTTGGCAAGTCTCAGCTTGTAATCAGCCTTAGCCTTGCGAAGAATCCTTCTGCAACGGGCCTCCTCCTCCCGGTATACCCTTTTTCTATTTGCCCCAGTACCCATTTCCTACGGGGGTTCCTCTTTCGTCTAATACCTCTAACCACCTCCTTTCGCATCCATGGCGGCACTCTCCTCCGCCTCCCCACCTTACTGTCTAGAGGTATCGTCAAGGCTTTCGCCTCCAAAACCTCCCTTTTGAGTGCTATCCACCCCTCCTCAACTCGCTTACCTTCCAGTAACCTATCCCAGGAGACTTTCTCCAGTCTGGCCTTCAGATGACCAAAGCTGGCCCTCTTGAAGTCCCAGCTTCTAGTGCTCGACCTGCTGCACGTCCCCAGTCCCCTGATCTCAAAGCAAAGGATGGAGTGATCACTCGCATCCAGAGCTCCCCTAATCTGTACTTCATCTATCAGCTGCTCCCTATTGGTCAAGACCATGTCAAGGATGTTTCTCCCACTCGTCGCCTCTCAGACCCTCTGTGTGAAAAGCCCTCCCTCTGTAGCTTCTAGGAAGTGACGTGACCTGGCTGTCACCGCCGAGTGAGTCTCCCAAGTAATATTCGGGAGATTGAAATCTCTCATAATTACTGTGTCTCTCCCCCGAGATATCCTTAGAATCTGGTCTGTCAGGACATCATCCAGGGTCTCAAGTTGACCTGGAGGGCGATAACATACCCCCACTGTCAGGTGTCTTTCCCTGTCAAAACCCCTAAGTTTCACCCAGACTGCCTCTACCGAATCCCCATCTGTGCTGCATTCTATCTCACTGCATCCTATCCCTTCCCTAACGTATAAAGCCACGCCCCCACTTCTCTTTCCCTTTTGTCCTTTCTAAAAAGGTGATACACTTCTGTGTTCACATTCCAGACTTCCCTTTCATCCCACCAAGTTTCTGTGATTCTTACCAGATCATACCCTCCTATTCCCAGGAGAGCTTCAAGCTCTTCCTGCTTATTACCCATGCTCCTAGCATTGGTGTACATGCACCTCAACTCCTTCCCACTGCTTCCCTTCCTTGGAGTTCCCAGCCTCCTCCTTCCTCCCATCCTCCCTGATACCTGGCCCCTCTCTGTAGGAGTCCTGTCAGTCCCTGCAGTATCTCTAAAACCCTGCTCCCAGAGCCCTGATCCTCCCCCCACACTTGCCCAGTGCAGACATGTTACTGGGGGGCCTGAACCCCCCCCCCGGCTCGGTTTAAAGTCTTCCAGATAAAGCTCGCTAGAGCATCTCCAAAGGATCTTTTCCCCATCCTTGTGAGGTGTAACCCGTCCCTTGCCAAAAGTCCATTGGCAAGAAAATGAGTGCCGTGTTTGAGGAACCCGAAGCGTTCCTTCTGGCACCACACCCTAAGCCAGTCGTTCACCTTGGAGGCCTTCCTGTCCCTTTCTGGCCCAAATCCCTGGACAGGTAAGATTGACGAGAAGGCCACATGGGCCTTCAGCTCCCTGAGTTTCTTCCCCAAGGCCTCAAAGTCCCTGGTGGTCCCAACCACACCCTGCCTGGCCACGTCGTTTGTGCCCATATGGATCACCAGGAGTGGCTGGTGACCCCCAGAGCGAACAAGACACTCCACTCTGTCCTTCACATGCCGGATGTGTGCGCCTAGCAGGCAGCAAACCTCCCTTGTCTCCAGCAAACCTCCTACTTTACCCCTCATTATTTTCAATACAAATAAAAACAAAACTTGTCAAACCTAAACTTGGGAAATGTCATTCTGAATACTCAGATGTGTAACCCTTCTCTATATTTCTTAAAAATATGGAAATTGTGAGCCAATATATAAGGGGTGTTTTGTACAGCACCAGTATTCACACATTATCACTGCTCTGCTCTTTCAAATGTCTTATATTAAAATGCTATCTGTTTCAAAGGCCAATGGGGTTATTTCTACGGAATCAGGGACAGGTTTTTTTTTTTAATCCTCCTTTCCAGTGGGGAGAAAGTGAGAGTGCTTAGCCTAGCCTACGAGCTGTGGACTTCAAGACAGGTGGGATGTTAAGGACATAATTATAAAAGAATTTAGAGTAACTCATTTCACTTGATGTCATCAGGTCATGTCCATATGAGTTTTGAAGACCACTATAGGACAGCACCTTCTACTGCATCCTCTGGAACAAGATTAGCTCCTCATTGTACTCTCCAGGCAGTATCCAATGACATCATTCCACAAATTCAACTAGTCCTAGTGATACTTTACTGAATGGTGTAAGCACTGGTGGCACAAGGAGTTGCACAAGAATTAAGTGTAATGGGTTGTATTGCCATGTGTATAAGAGTTATGTGCACTAAGTTGCATAACGGATTTCAAAATGGGTTACGAAAGAGATCATTCCTTTGGGGGCGTGGAAATTATGAGCAAGGGGTTGCACAAGAGCTTTCACAACTCAAATGAAAAGTCACTTGCACCACCATGCTTGTGCAACCATAATTTTAGTGGGATTTCTCCCTTGCACATATGGCTCAGAACCTGGTTTTCACTAGCTCATGTGCTCATGGATCTGTTTTTAGCAAACAGGCCTTGATGCGCTCACTGGCCTGGGTCCATGAGTAAGTAACAGCACCTCCAGCGTGGAATAACATCACATCACTGAAATCCCGCTTTAACTTTGCGTTCTTGACAGATTGTTGAGAAGTTTTGCTGTACACAAACATGAACTGGACTGAAAATAATAAAATTCGTGCTGAAAAAAAGAATGGCACAGATTATACATGTTTAAAACTTGTAGGCCTCTTGAGAAGTAGTTAGCCTTGTTCTAAAGTCCAAAGGCTACCTTTTACAATGGTTTGGTTTAGGCTTTAAAGAGAAATGCTCTTGATCAAACTTAGCAGCTTTTTTTTCAATGTGCTATTTAAAATCAAATCTGGCATTTTTTGTAAAGATTCATTGCCATGTTATATTTAATTTTGATAGACTGCCTATGAATGTCTGCAGAAAGCTTTGTTTAGGTCCAAAGTCTCATAAAAAGCCCATATTTGGATTCTCAGCTGTATACGTCAGCCAGGCTGTTGGCTGTTGTATTATTCTTTATAAAAAAAACCTCCTTAAAAACAGCTGTTTTTTGTTCAGTATGTTTGAAGAGGACAGTGTTGCCAAAATTGCGTATTTATTTTTTTTTAAACATCTCTTTTTGCATTAGATTGGAAAATTCTTCGGTGAGATTGACTCGGGCCTCATGCGAAATCTCATCAATATGTCCTTATATGCCTTTAACAAGTCTTATGACTATCAGTCGGTGTGCGATCCAGAAGAAGAACCAAAGCAAGGAGCCGGACTCCGCTCTGTCAATGTGGTCAGTGTCCTCTTGACCTTCTCCAGTCAGTATAGTACCAATACGTGTTTGGAGATTCTTGTAACATTACATTCATCCCCTTCTGTTTTCTAGCCTACAATAGCAGATATTTTACAGCTAGGGTGGTGGGCTTCTGCAGCTGCTTGGTAAGTTGCACTTTTTGGATAATTTTTATTGTACCTTTGCTGTGCATGAATGCCTTGTCCAAGGCCTGGACACACTATGAAATAGCCCCACTTACATTCCTCATACACATTCTTCTTTGAATTTTGTATGCATAATAATTAGCCAGAAAAAAATAATTCCTTCTATTTTGGCGAAGTATTAATACTGCAGCCGAACAAAAATAAATGCTTTCTCTTAGAAGGTCACCAGAAATATTTTATGACATGCAACATAACAGAAATTAAGAACTTTGGTATCTGCAGTTGAAAAGAATCTTTGAATTGGATGATATTCAAAAAAGGAAATTTAAACTTTGACATCAAAATGGCCTATATCAGCACTGGTATCAAGCCCAGAGGTCTAGGCTCAATTTGGACATGTTTTTTTTTTTTCCAAATATAAATGCTTTCTTGAAATGTTTTCTGTAATGAAGCAGTGGAGGCTTGCAGGAAAGGGGACTGTCTGTTAAGATTTGAGAGACATTAAAGGAGAAAAACACTTCTCAGACATTAGTGCAAAAACAGGGAAATTATATTTTGCTTTCCTTGGCTGATGTCTCATCCTTGTTCCATGGATTTGTTCTGCTCCATGTCCTGATCCAACATGCAGCAGAACTTCTAAAACTAATTCTGGGACAGAGTTTGCTCACAGCCATCAGTACAGCTGCAATCTTTTTTTCTGCTGAGGTTATTTATGCACATGTAGATGGATCATGACACAAGAAGGGATGTGGTCCTGTCGTGCCATGTCTTATTGCTGTGCACAAGTATTTGTTCATATTAATAATCTGCCTGGATAAAAATTAACAAATGAACTTCAAGAGCTGAATGCTGAGGCCACTTGTGCATGCACAGCTGTTTGTAAAATACCCTTCCCAAGTGAATTTCATAAGTAGCGATGCTCAAACTCTCTGCAAGTTGATTAACTGTATTTCAAAGCTCAGTGTGGCTTGCTCATGTTCTTGTTTTTTACTTGTTTCTCAGTTCATTCAAGTGGGAAAAGTTGTGCATTTTGAGAACACAGCATGTTTTGATAAGTTGTGCATTTTTCATAAGCTTCTCCTTGTTCAGAAATTCTGCTTTGTTAAGAAATGTGTGTTTTTCAAGTGCACGTTTTGTGAATGCAAATGTAAGTGGGAATTCACAACCGTTTTTACACAACATTAACTCCCATTCTGGGTTGTGCATTGGGTAATTTCAAGTCATTTGCACATTAAAACAAAATTATTATAATTGCTATCCAGAACCAAGTGAACACATTGCTTGGATATTGGTGCTATCTGAAAATAAGGTCAAATAAAGAGAATCTGAAATCTAGGAAGAATTTTGGTTGCAGGAAATTCATACTCTGTGGAGACTGGACAGCCCAAGACTGATTCCTTCCCATTGCATTACACGTTCTACTACACCATTAATATCATGCTTCCTTATTCTTTTTTCTCTTTTGCCCTGTCTCTCCCAGTCTTAATATTTCCTCATTTCCGTTAGATTGTTTCTTTATATAATTTCAGAATAGGCACATCAGCATACATGTCATTGTATCCACAGGCTGCTGGACAGAATTTAGATAGATATAGAAAAGGTCCCAGTCCCCGCTCTGCCCTTGGAGCACCTTCCTTCAACCCTTGCCGTCAGCACAGAAGGGACCACCACCGGCTGCAGCTCCAAGGTTGGAAGTCCAGACTTGGAACCAGAGGGTTGTGCGTGGAAAGGGGTACAGAGGGGAGCAGTGACTCTCCTTCATGATACGCTGTATCCTGGCAGTACCTCAGCCTTCTCCTTATCCTGTTGTATGTCCTCCCACCCTCTGCTGAATAACCATAATTCTGAAAGTTTGAAGAGTTACTGGCAGCTGCCTGTTTCTTTAAAGTCACAGAATGTGACACATGTCCGTAACCAGAGAGGTGGGAGGGATTGTGGTTGAGGGGAGAGAAGGCCATCGCTTACTGATCCATGTCATTAACTGTATGATTGGGATCGGGCAAACGAGGATCCGTTTATTGTACAAAACTAGAAAACTGTTCAATAAATGATAAATAACTCCCTGCAAAAATGGTTATACCACTCAGCATCAGGTTATGATTCTGCAGTAATTTGTGTATATTCTTTAAAATAAATTCCCACCCATCACAATAGTAAGTAAGGAGCAATCAACATTTCAGCCAAGACAATAGCAAATTTCTGAATAGAGATAAAATATACCCGTGCTATTTATTTATTTAACTTATTTATACCTATCAACTTTTGGTCCTCTGGGTCTTTTGGTCCAGTTCCCACAAGTGACTCACAACTGACAATGTTATAGCTATGTAAACTTCTAAAACTTTCAGATACAAACCTCTAGGACTCTTGCTGTAGATGGTAGCCACATAACCTCAGAATTCACACTACTAATGTCATTCTGAGTTCTGTACTATTTATTAGCTCTGGAAGGCCATAAGTTTTCATTTTATAGAGAGGAATTAATATGGAGCTTTGATTGGTATCTCTGCAGAAAATCATCTGTATTAAACCAATGGACAGGGGATACAAATTGAGAAGTTATCTAAGTTATTAACAATCTCTGCTAAGTAATATCATTGTTAAGTCTGATGAAATATTGAAGAGAGTCGCTATTAATTTCAGAAATGGCAGGCTGATAGTTATAACCGAGAGGCTTCCATGCCTCTTGTAACATCAGAATTTACCAGGATAGAACATGGAGGGTTGCTGGGGGAGAAGCTTGGTTTATTTTTGAGGCCCATCTTAAGCATACCAGGTGGGGGAAGGTAGATGCTTAGTTAGAATTATTAGACAAATTCTTGGAGAATATGGTTTTCATTAGCTACTGGTTTGAATGAGTCTGTGCTACCTTCACTGTCAGAGGGGTCTCCAGTAGGGAGCTGGTTTCCCCCTTTGTGAACAAAATGCTGGACTGGATGGACTATTGGTCTGGTCCAGCAGGACTCTTGTAAAATACCTCTTGTGTGTTCCTACAAGTTCCTACAAGTTGAAGTAAAAATGGGAAGGAAATCATCAGTCAAAACTGCAATGTATGAACCTATGTCCAGCTCACTCATCTAAAGACTACTTGACTTGGGTACTAGCCATGCACATAACTCACGATTCTCTTGTTCCTATGCCTAGTTCACCGTTTGCTACATGCGCAATACACAGAATTAGCACTGCATGGAAGATAAGAATTCTTCATTGCTATGGTGCTTATAACAAATAATACTACAATTATTATATTCCTGTGCAATTATTTGTATATCCAGGTCTATCTTGCAGCAGCTCTTTTTGGGCCTGACATTTCCACATTTTCTTGGTGCAGGTAAGTGAAGAATCAGGTGTAGGAGAACTTACCTTGCTTTTGCATTTCAAACTTTCATGGAGCTGAAAATACTCTCTTTCTCATAGTGGATATGGAGGATGAAGACTTTAGTGCTGCCCCATCGAAACAGAGCTGCATTACAGTACAGACACAATATTTCTTTGGGAATGATGATAAATCATTTAATGGCATCCTAGACTGTATAAACTGTTCTAGGTAGGTTTTTTATTTTTTATTTTTTTGCATCCCAAAATGTGTCAAGTGTCCATTTCTTAGCAGTGTTTCACTGTGAGAACACAAGCAATTAAAGGGAAACTAATATAGGATTGAGACAAACTAATCCTTAGAACTATCATTTATTCTACCAGTGGAGTAATTAGATATGGATGCATATGAATATACATGACTCCGCAGTGTTATGATTTATATAAATTTCAGTAGTAAGATAGAACTATTAGTACTGCTTGGAAGTAGGTGGTTGAATTTGATTGAGTGGACGTGGGTTCTACCAGTAAACCTTTTCATTACCTGTTGAGAGGCAAACTAGGCTAACTGTAGCTCTCTAAATAAGAACTTCATTAAAGCAGCCTTCCCCAACACAGTACCCTCCCTGCCTGTTGAAGTACAACTTCCAGAGTTCCCTGGCAGCATGACCATTTGAAGGGCACTGTGTTGGTGATGACTTAATTAAGCATTTGAAGTTTTACTTGGCAAATGTATTAAATTGGATCCAGAATCAGTCATAATTAGAGTGGGCCACTGGAACTGAAAGGCTTAAATTAGTCATGACCAGCATTCAATCCCTGCTCTCAATGCCTCCAACTCTAACTGTGACTAAATCTGGATCCAACAGATTATATGGTGCTCAAAAATACTGATAGAAGATTGTCTACTTGTTTCTTTAACTCAGCAATAAATGCCCATTCTGTGATATGTTTCTTCTCTCAGACTTTTTCATGCAGAGAAAATTTCCAATACAAATTTAGTATTCATAATGAGTGACAGCAGGGCGATGTGCCGCCACTGTGATGCAACTCCACTGAAGCAAGCAGAGAAGCCGGGTATCCTTTCAAGTTTGACTTTATGCTAGGTTTTTGTTCACTTACAAACAGTAAGATCCAAAAGACCTGTAGAAGCCCCTCTCTGGTTCTCTGTTATTCCCTAAGCTTGACCCAGTTCATACTTATCTGGGCCTAGCAGTCTCTCTCTCTCTCTCTCTCTGTGTGTGTGTGTGTGTGTGTGTATGCATGTGCCAGGACCAGGACAGGTGGATGCATCTTACATCGTTCAGATAAACAGATATTGTATGTGCAATGTTATCCATACCCTAATATAAATAACAACAGAGCAATAGATAGATAGATATGTTGATTATGATACCGAACATACTATGTCAGTCTCAAATTGTCTACCACTGTCAAGGCTAAGTTAGTTATACCCAAATCTAAGCTTACAGAAGTATGTCAGCTCTGAATCCCAAATGTCTGCAGCTAAGATGGAAGCTTGAACCCAAAGGACTAGAGGCAGATTGAATTCTTGTCTCGAAAGGTAAATATAATTCCAGATGAACAATCTAGAGGCCTGATACTTTCTGTGAATCTCAGGAGCTGAGGCTGTATAGTCAAAACCTCTCAGCATTTTGGAGCGTAGCCATGACACACTTGGAAACACAAATTTCTTGCATAAATTTGCAAATCTCTAGCCTCTTCCCACGTAGTCCTTGATAGATCACGTGATCAGGTTCCTGGTTCAAACACCAGAGATCTGTGCACAAGTTTTCCACAAGTCTTATCTTCCAAGTTATACTGATTGTGAACATTTCAGCAAACTGTGAGTGCAATTCCATGCCCACTTACCTTAGAGGAAGTCCTACTGAACTTAGTAGGGCTTACTTCTGCACAGGAGTGGTCTGTGTATGTAAATGCAAGAATTTGGTTCTCCAGTTTCCTTAACCAATGGTTAGATGAAGGGCCTAATCCCTGTGAAATGGTTCAACAGCCCAGATACAGAAAAGGACCAGATGTCTGCTTTGATGATGATATTGCCGTAAGTTTGGCTTTCAATGGAGTGGAACAAGTATCTTCCCTGCAATGGAAAATGCATTATTTCTAGAATAGTTTGCACCTTGACATGCCTGGGGAGCATTAATTTCTCAGTAAACTTACTGTTGACTTTGGGTCCTATTGCACTATTTCTAGCGTTCCCACAATTAACATTAAATTAACGACTGCTTTTTCTGAGTTGCCTTTGCTGTAATTGCAGTGCTTTCACACATGATTCCTATCTAAAAAACAGGACAGTCTGTGCCGACTGTGGAAAAACAGCCCTGGCAGTCTTCCCTATTTCTAGTCACTGGTCTCATAGCTTTAATTTTTGTCCTATTGGAGTAATGCAACTGCCTTGTTTCAATTTTCCCTGCTTGTGACACATCATGAACTAGAGGATTTATGACTAAATTCATAAGGATTTGTTGGGAGGCTCACATGCTAACATGAGGTCACAGACTGCATGGTTCTTCTGTTGCACTTGTGTCATGAAGGGTCCTCAAAACTCTGCCCCAACATATTTGCTGTGATCCAGCAAAAACATTTAAGAGTGAACATGGAACATGGCTCTCCGTAATACACATACCCCAGTGCTATTTTCATTCCCTTCTGAAGTTTCAGTAGCTCAGAAGTACAAAAAATGGATAAACAAGACCTTTATCATAGCACAGGTCCAAAATGGGAATGCTGCTTACATTAAAATATTTTATGAAAATAATACAAATATAATAATGTAGCAGGAACAAGGAATGCTCATCTCTACTGGACAAAAGCCAGTAGTATCCACATAATATGTTACCTCAGTCCACACAGTGGAGGTTTTGTTGCTCTTGGTTTTAAATATCTGAATTCAAATATCCTGTCTGAATATTTACAGAATGGAAGAGGTCCAATTGCTCCTGTAGTGGGGAAAAATCTCATTCTGAAGAATGCAGGTGTTCTCACTAAGAGGCCATTATATTTGCAGCAAACTGCCAACATGTGCCTTCAACTCACTTCTAATTGTGAGCAGTAACAAAACAGCTCCAATATTCAGTTCAATCCCCACTCGGTTCGGCAAAAACAATTGCTGTCAAGGCCGTTGAAGTTTCCTTGCTCGCAGCTGGATCTCAGAAGAGGCCCCACATTGTTCTCACGGTTTTCCTCTCTTCCCCTTACGTTCTGATATCTCCCAAAAGGATGACTGCAGTTTGCTTTCTTTGAACAGCTCCCTTCCTTCAATCAAAGCATCATGCCACTTTGGACCTTTGGACACATCAAATAGCTGGATCACGATCTGGCCTGATCAGGGTGATATGCAGTGTCATCTAACTTGCACAAGGTGTTGAAAGGCCAGCATAGGTATTTTGAGAAGTCTGCTGCACCCTCCTTTGAATGCCCCATGCATTTTACAATATTATGGTAGTGGGCAATTCATTAGAACCTACCTTTTGGTTTTTAGTTCTTCTTTTAATAGTAGGCAACTCCTGTTTGCAGCTGTGTCTTGTTTAGCATGCTATGTAAGCTAGGAATGCTGGGTTGTCTCTCCCACAACAGTCCATGTTTTATTGCTGGATTATGAAGTGGCTACTCAAGGAGAAAACAAGCCAGAGTTCCTGGATTGCACATTACACTAAACCTTCTGCTCATTTTTTTGGGGGGAGGAGGGTTGTCCCAAGTTCTTATGCTTGAAGAGAAGAAATTAGGTTGTAGTGCCATTTTTTTAAAAAAAGCATGAGTTATTGTGACATGGAAACTGGACTTATAGTTTCTGGGACACTTCCTTAAATTTGTGCATATAGAGACTGACAAATGCAAATGCTTCTGTTTCTCCTTACCGCAAAAAGGTAGTGCAAGGCTCATGTATCCACTTTTCAATTTTAAATCATACAGTTGCTTACTTTCATAGCACACTAAAATAAAAGTTAAGGGAGGAAATGCAAATCCCTTAGACCTCCAGTCCCCCTTCTTCTGAATGCTCTGCCAGCGCATTGACCAAAAAAGTGTTTCTGCACAGCAGAAATTTTACGCATTGTCCATTGAAGAAAGTCTTGGCTTTCAAGTTGGCGGACAGTGAAAAGAAAGGCTCTTTTTACCAAAATTTGAGTAGCCCAGATTTATCTTTCACTTTCATATTTTTAAAGAAAATGTAAACATGCACAAGTGAATTCATTTGTGTGGTTGTTACTTTCAAAATGTGGCACGTGGGGGATATTGAAGTGCCACACGTTGAGATCAGACAAAAGTGCTGGAAACAACTAGAAGTAATACCAGAATTCTTAGGTGCATCTGTGGTCTACAAACAGATCTATCGTGTGTGAAAGTACAAGGAGTCTTGCTCACTAGCTTGGTGTGCTATTCTGTGTCTTAGCTGTGTTTTCTTTAACTGTAACAATGTAATATTTTTGGTTAAGTTTCCTTTGCAAGTTTTACTGTGAAATTCTTTGCTCTTGGGTGGATGCTTTTCACATTAACTCTGCTAACTGCCAGCCAATTGCATGAAATCTCATCTTGTATGTGTTTCTTTCTGTGTTTTCTTTCCTTTCCTCTACTTGCTACTTTGCCCGTTATTGATAGGATCAGCCTATATGCACAACGAGTCGTGCCTCTGCCATGATGTCAGCTCCTATCTTCATTTTTCTGCAAGTTTTCATGTGGTGTGGATGGTCAGTTACTTTCTCTAATTTTGTGTTTTTCTTTGTTTTCTCAGAGTTTAGCGTTTTTGTTAGCATATCAGATAAACAAGTGTTACATCGCTCTTTTGGGGGGGGAGAAATATGGAGCAGACTTTGTTATTATTTCATGAATGGGCTCAGTGGCAAAGGGAGTCAGTGAAGGGGTCGTGTTCTCTGGGAAGAGAGTGGGCCTCAGGGTCACTTTTTCCCACCATGCCTGGGAGTTTTAAGGTGCAAACCTATTAGGCTTAGGCAGAAAAGGGCTAGGGGCATGCTGGGAGTTGTAGGCCTTTTTCTGCCTAAATAGGCATAGGATTGCACTCACTGGATTTCACTTTAATCATTATTTGAAGAGCATTTAATCTGTGTTTGGTAATCTACTTATTTCACTTCTCCTGTGGTAAACAGAGAGAGCACACTTCCATTTTCTGCGAGGGACAACTGGGGAGGAGAGAAGGAGAGAATCAACCCATCAGCTTACATGTCTAGGAGCTCAGAGATACAAACTAAAACAGGCTACCATATATACTTATATCATGGGAAATATCTGGTATACCAGCCCATGGCAAATTCATGGATCTTATGAGTAAATCCTTTTTATTAGTATTATTCTTGCAAGAAATGCTACTGAGAATTATAACCAGAAGTTTTCACATACTACATATACCTCTTTTCCCAGTTCAACACTATAGCACATGCTTAACACATGCTCTTGTTGTTCAGAAGGAGGAGAGGAACCAGAGTTCCTTGGCATAATGCACACTGTGCATGTTCTGACCAAAGTTCTGACCTAGGTTCTGAGGAAATGAGCATGGAAAAGACCTGCTTTTGGGAGCCTGGACTACTGCTTGCCAGTTAGAATTAATAGTATCTGTCCAGGTGGCTAAGTAGTCTGGTTCACCCAAGGGACCTATTGCATATCTACTGTTGTATCCCTGCATCCTTAAATTCCAGCTATAGACACATGCTGTTAGATTTGCATGAGTAATATAACACAGGATATTACTGTTTTCAGATGTATTGGTTTTATATCCTTTACTTTCAAACATTTAGGGTGGGCTTCTTTTATGAGCCTAATAAAGATAAGAAAGCAAGGAAACAAAAATACTGTGAGCAGCGTTTGTTTAAGAATGAAGAATGACACAGTCTAGTTGGCAGTGACCATGACTGGGTATCTTCTAATAGGATTAGTCAACGTTAATTCTAATCTAGAGGGAGCCTAGTTGAAGAACACATTTTCAAAGTATGACTGGTTGGTATGTGGCTGATTCTCCCATGAAATGGAAGATAGGTCGGGAAATGTGCATACCAGTAGAATATGCCATTCCACCTAAAATGCCCCCAGCTCTTAACAGATTCTTGGAAATTGAATGCTATGTAAGAAAAAGTTTATACCCTTCTTTTCATAATTCATCCTTTTAAATGTTCCTTATCTTCAGAGGTGTCAGAGACTGCCAAAGCAAAGCAAAAATCACCCTTTGAATAAGTGAAACGAATTAGTGGCACCAAGCATAGCCTTACTAGGCAGTGATTTAGTACTTCTAGAGGTAAAGCAGATGTGCCCCTTCTTCTACCTAATATATTGTGTCAAGTAGGTGTTTCACCTGGAATCTTGTGTGTCCGGAATCCCATGAATCTTTCCCCTCAAAAAGTGGAAGCAAACATGGTGTGAATGATGTCTTTGTAGGACAAGCCTGTTCTGAAGAGGACTTTATGATGCCTGGCAGGCATGGGGAGCATGAGGTCCTTCAGATGCTGATGAACTAAAGTTCCCATCAACCCTCAGTAGTGCTTGTGCTGGCTAGGCCTGATGGGAATTTCACCAACATCTGGAGGTTGCTGAATAGTGAGAACATCATCCATCATGGGATTTGGATCAGCAGCTGGTAAGCACAAGAACTAGAGAACTGGCAACCATGGCTGCCATGACCCTTTGCCAAAACTCAGCACAAACTGGTCTTTTATATACCATGGCAACTGTTCCCAGAGTGCATCTCAGAATGATGCAAAAACCAAGTTATGCTTGTTAGATCAGCATATTTATAGCCATGTCAGTGCATGGCTCTCCCAAATGGAAATGGTCACATATTGAATGCAAACATCTCTTTATCTACTCTATTGTATGCCTCTATTTGTATTAAATATCATTGGGCATTGCACTGAGAAGCTCAGGGCAAGTGTGAACAAAGTCCCCAGGCACTCTCTTATTCCAGACATACATCAGACTCAGCGCCACTGAACTTCTGTAAGGTTTCTGCTTTATGTGGCATCAGAGGACTGCTACAAATTTAGAGAATTCTGTATATGGACCCTGTAATCGAGGAGATTTCATTATAAGTATATGAGGTGGAATTAATATAGGAGGATGATGTCTGGATGGTGGGATGGATGGATGGGCAGATTGACCCAGCAAAAACTAGCTTCCACTGTTGCCCATGCTGGTTAAGACAGATTGGATTTCAGGTCATTGTGCATCTATGGGCCACACATTCCTCACCCTGGAGTAAGGCTTCAAATGGAAATGACAGATGTTCTTAGCAGGAACCTGAATGCTTGCTTGATCACCACTCTGTTCTTCCACATGTGTTTCATGAAGACTTAACACACTTTTAAACAGTTGAAAACAGTGCACAAACATTTAACTGTTCATTAATAACCACATTTGTTAATGTTTGCTCTTCTGAGGAATGTGTGGAGGGGATGTTTCATAGTGGCATCAGAAGTACCAACTAATCAGGGCTATGTACAGCCCACACTTGCTTCCGATTGGCAGAACTTTATTTTTCAAAGGACCACCCCCTTGCTGAACCTACATTTGAACTGAAAGCAGAGAGAACATTTCTAGAATGTGATCACTGCTCTAAATATGTCATTTCTACTTTTATATTATCTTTCCAGAATACCAGTAGAGGGAGACATCACCATGGCCAACTCTAGCAGTATCACTAGTTATAATTCATAAAACTAGAAATAGATTGTTGCATAAATATATTAAGAAAGGCTGTTTTAAAAGGTGCTTCTTGATTGATAGAGATGCTTTGGCTGTCTGCTGTAGGCAGTGATGGGCCAGAAATTCATTGAGTTCACACTTTGCTTACAAAATTGCCACTAATCAAATGTTCTCACTTTTCTGAATTTTCTATTCAGAATTGTTTGCAAATACAACATGCATAAAAAGTATATAATAGACAAAAATGCATACAAGAAAGCAGGAAAAGGTGGATATTAGGATAATTTGGACACACGGAGATCATATAAAGTTCCATGTGGACTCGAAACAGGAAATTCACCAACTGATGCAGAAGTGCAGTGGAACAAAATGAGAGTGACAGAAAATCAATCTGAACAGATTCATCCATCCCTGTAGGGATGTAGACTTTAATATATGAAGAAAGACATTAGTCATTTCTGCTGTGTCTATAAATACTTCACAGTTATCAGTACTTTTGTGCACTGCTTGATGGGGGGTTGCACATTTTTGCATTATATCCTAAATATGTCTATAATGAATTTGGAATGCCTGTTCTGCTATATCCTTGAGGCACAATGTAACAAAAAAAAATTTAATGAAGAATTTGCTTGGCCTGCACTTTCCGTGCACTAGCTGAAAAGAGTCTAAGAAGGCATGCAGTCCTCCCATGGTCCGGCATGGTCTGTCTATACCTGCTCCAGGTGCACACTTTGGACGTGACCACCCTCTTAGTGTTAATATGCAGTTGGAAGTGGAGAATATGTAGACTAGGATGAAAAAACCTGGGAAAGAAATTGTAAACCACTGCGAATCCCTTGATCGAGGGAGAGATTAAAGAAGGACAACACTTATCCTGAGTTCAGGGTTTTGAAGGATTTATGTAAGACTTATCAGGAGTGACAATTTATCAAGAAATGTTGTTAGCAAGAGAAAATAATGATGTAAATAGCGACACATAGGTTCATATTAGTGCGCTTCTATTCTCTCACTACATCCTCACTCATTCAATCAGAACTGTGTTCAGGTTCCTCAGTAGTATGTGCAAAGATCATAGGTCTGGCCTACATATTAAATGTGCTACATGCATCTCCATTAAATTATCACCTCAGGGGTGTTCTCTGCATATCATTACCATCACAAGTAGATTGTTTCTTCATTATGTTTCTTCTGGATGATCATGTGGAAAATGGCAATGCCAGGCCCGTCAGCTTCAGGAAAGTGTGATGCTGGGATAGAAACCCTACTCAAAGTATTGCATGGAAGCCAGTGCTGTGCAGTGTAGCAAAGGATTGTTTCAATCTTGTTGAACTTGGTGAGCACAATGGGTCCACGGCTCATTCTACGTTGATCCCTCACTTGTTACATTTTTCCTTAAGTTTGATCAGGCTTGGTGCAGTCATCCTAGCAGAGTGCTGACTGTTTTATGGCTTGCTTGGTCAGTGGAAGCAGCGGTTTAAGGCCTTGTTTAAGCATGATATTGAGTGGTTGCTCTTGCCCCCAGTGATGCATGCAGCTCCTGCTACATGGTTGGGGTGGATCACAGGGTTACTACCTTGGCCGTGCAGACTCGCTGGTGTGCGCCTAAGAGCACCCAAACTAGTGCAGTATGTAACCAACCAGGCCACTGTAGATAATCCATGAAACAGATGTAGCAGTCATTTATTTATTTATTTATTAAAACATTTCTATGCCGCCCCTTGCCGAAGCCTCGGGGCGGCTCACAACATAGAATAAAATACACAATAAATTAATAATATCCAGTGTGGAAAGCCCCTGGATATTTTGTCTGAAGCATCCCTACATTAGAACTACTTGATCATTTCCAAAGAGTGCATTACTACTCAATCTCTCAGCAACTCCTTTCTGAGAACTGCAGAGCTCTCAAAGTTAGTCATAAGGTTTATTAAACCACAACAATTTGATTTAGTTTTTCAGTTCTCTTCTAGAGAAAAGGAAGCCTACATTGGCTATCAAATAATCTTGTGACTCTAAAATAACAAATTGTGTAATGAGTCAGGCATGCTTTTCTTACCCCTTGATGTGCTTTGTTACATTAAAAAAGTTTAAAGTACATTGGATATTCCTGAAGTACTGCTATGGTCCTTACCAAATTTGTAAGCGATTAGCGTTTGCTTGGAGGTTTCTAAATACACGCGTCTTCGGTTTGTTGTCTTCATCTAGCCTGAGTCAACCACCAAGTTTCAGGTAGCCTTTCTGGTGAATATTTGATGCACAAGAAGAAAAAAAAAAAAACAGCAACAGAGACTATACACAGAAGTTTTGATGAAAAATTACATTGCACCCAAAATAATTTATGTGTATGTTTAAGTGGATGTTTATATTTATATATTACTATATAATGCCTTGTAACTCTTCGAATATCTGAAATGCTGCTACACAGAAGAAAGTCAGGACTTTTTTCTCTGTTGTCCCAGTGGGCAGGATTGTATCTACTGGGCTTCAGTTCCAGGAGTTCAAACTGAATGTGAGAGGGCGAATCACCATATTTGGGAATTCTCTGACCTTTTACTTCAAACAAAATGGCATAAAAAGACCTATTACAGTTGTGTCATTCTATCAATATTCATACTTACTGCTTTATTTTTGTAACAGTGGTAAACCTATAAAGAATATGAAAGGAGCCCAAGTTCCAGAAAGCTTAATGTATCTTCCGGTCGCACATGGGGGACATGTGTTTGGACATGTTAGCCTGTCCATGAAAGCTGCCTGCAACCTATTTCTCAACTGCAGCAAATGTGGCCAGTCATATTCTAGGTGGAAACAATAACTTACCAGCCAACAAAAACAGCTTTTAGATAATCCAGTTACTAGTAGAATGCATTGCATTTAATAGTGTCATTCTTAATCTTGTCTAATAAATTCTTAAAAGCTTTTATGCTTCTGCATTTCTGTTACTTTCATATAAGTAACTTATATCTTCAACAGTTCCCATAGCAGATAGCATACAATTTTGTTAATTTGATAGGCTTACAGTACTGTTTGCACAGAATCTTGTAGACATTTCTTCTCTCAGTGATAAATTTAAAGTATGTTTAGGAGGAAGGTTACATAGATAATTTCAATATTTTACAATGAAAGGCATGGCTAGACCCCTCTTGCATTTACTGTTGCTCAATTTGATTGCAATCTATGCATTTATGTAATAGGCTCTTAGAGATGGAAGAAGACTCTAGGTGAGCCTTGGAGAATCACCACTCAGAGAAGACAATAGTAGAATAAATTCCAGTAGTAGAATAAATAAAGCCAACTTGGTATGATGTCACTGTATGCAAACCTGTGGTGATAATAAATATGTGCTTGCAAACTGACTAGTAGCAATGGTGGCAATTAAATTGTGGATTATTTTGTTTTAGAATGTAACTCACTGGCTATTGCAAAAGTTCTTAGTTCTCTGCATGTGGATGCTTAAATGCATGGACCATGGTAAGCTACAGGAATGACCTATGATTTTGTATTTCTCTGGTTAGGTTTTGTATGAATGTGTTCAGTTACACTTCCATGCAAATTGAAACAGGCAAGTGTTAGCTCCAGTGAACTGCAAGTCAGAAAATAAAATTGAGGCAGAAGTCATTTTTCAAAGGTTATGAGACTGTCGAACTCTGTAAATGGGGTTTGGCCAGTCACCCCAAATATCAAGGCCAGAATTTATCGGAGTACTTTGGCACATGTTGAAAAGTTATGTTACTTACCATTCTGGGGTAGGTACTTTTCCAGGTTGGATACCAATGTAGTGAATCCATTCAGAAAGCTGTTTCCCATGTGTGTCAGCCCTGGGAGGATGAATCCCACCAGGTATCCGATGGCATGCAAACTGATGATTGTATCAGTTGATAAACTCTTTGTCAGCTGAAAGCTAATATACTGATCTTTTTTTCTTAACCTACAGGAAAATTCAACAGACTGTGGTGGTGTTTCTGGCTTGAGTCCGTCACTCTGGTCCATGGTAGGAATTCAGTTTATCCTCCTCTGGCTGTTATCTGGAAGCAGACATTGCCAGTTATGACCCTTCTAAAACCAAAACCTGCGTAACAAATCAAGATCCTGCCAAAATGTTAGCCCACCATTTCATTTGGGAAAAGGGGGTCAGCCTGCTCAGACCACAGAAAAATGCCAATGCCCATTACTTGATACCTTCTTTGGAAAGACTCCAAAGGCCTCCACCATGGCTGCATGTTGGTGTGTCAGATCTGTAGACGTGTGTGAATGCTGCATCATCTAGGCCATCAGAACTGAATTCTCTATGTGCTTTACTGAGGAATTGCAGGATTTTTTGTGCTTGAAGACTTTGGTGTGAAAAGGGCTCCCCTTTCAAAGGTTACATGGCTTCAGTTCATTTGTTCTTCATTTTGAGTTGTTGCACTTTTCATTCTGTTAAACAAAGGCTTTCTAAGGGTGTGCGAAGCCCTGTCTCTTCCTTAGCCCTCATATTTAGAGTACTGATTTTTTTAATGCCTGCTTTCAATATCAGTTGTGTCCCAAATGCTAAAGAGACTTCAGTTTTCTCCAGAATTGTTTTTGACTGGCTAGACCAGGAGTCCCTGCACTTTTGGGACTGATGGACATTTGGAGTGCTAAGAAGTATCGTGGGTGCTGCTGCAAAAGGCCTGCCGGGGGAGGGGGGCATGGTCTTTCATGAAATGGCTGCTGTGGTGGTGTGTTGCTCGCTGAAGGCCGAGGCATTTCACAGAAGACAAACCAGTGAGGCTAACAGACAAGTAACTCTCACAACACCTGAGCACAGAGCGGCGATCAGATCTGAGGGACAACACACAAACCCTTTTAAATCCACATATGCAAGAATATCAGCCCCCAGAGTAGGTTTTTTCCAGAATACATGCTGCACTGCAGGCACACACAATCCACACAATTCACATTTTCTGTATAACAGAATGCATACCTGGAATATCCACCCATACACAGGAAAGGCACCCAGGTTTCTGCCCTGCTCTTTCTCCTACCATGATTCCCTTGCTGACCCACCTAACCCTTGTGATCAGTCGCAACAACTTCACATTCATCCTCCCCTTGCTGCCAGTGCTGGTCCCAGGGTGTCCTTCATAGACAAGTTTCGGTCATCACCACCTTAGTTTCCAGAGGCATTCTGGGAAAATCAGGGCAGTGGCAGGCAGCAGGCCCTTGGCTTAGCGGGGTGCTCCAGCCTCGAGGTAATAATAATTAAATACGAAAGAGGCAGGGCATTGTGGGTGCCTGCGGGCACCATGTGGAGGACTCCAAGGCTAGCCATCTTCACTGATTCACCAGAACTTAAAATGCCTTATGACAAAGGATTTTTTTCCTACCCAAATGAGCATAACTGGGCAATGACTAAGCTTAAGTAGGCTTGTGAAACGAATGTGGAAATCTTTAAATGAAACAAGATAACGTCTAACTGGAAAAATTCTTGAGAATTCCATGCTTGAGCGGAAAAGTGTTTTTTATCCCAAACTGGGTACTTGTACCCTACTGCACATTTGTTAATGTCCGTTTCATGACTCATGTTCTCAGTTATCTACTGCCAGCCAAGTTCTCCAAAACGTTCAGACGCAAAGTTTGTGAATAAAAATGTCTTTGTGAATATTGAACGTTGGTTTCCAAGGGTATTTTGCATGATGATGAAGCTGCTGCTGCTTTGCTGTTTCTTTTAGCTTGGTTTTCTGTTTTCTTTTTTGATGGTAGAGTATAGTTTATTTAAAAGGTACCTGAGTGATTATTTTGTTGTGTGAGAAACCAAATATTGCAATGTGATGCAATTTAATCTTAAGTTATTATATTGTTAAACAGAAATCTGAATATACTGTGCAATGTAAAAGCTGAAAAAGAATGGTACATTTAGCAGTCTACAAATGGGCAGAGATGGATTTTATACATACAGAAACATTCACTGAAAATCTTGTCTACAGGTATTTTAAGTAAATGAAATCAAATGACAGGCATTTATATTTTAAAGAGTGGGTATGCTCAGTTTTGTATTTGATGGGGGTTTTCCTTTGTTTCCACTAAAATTAGTTCCTATCTATTAGTTATCTATTAAGCAGTCAATCTTACTATTTTATAGTAGGAAACAGAAAACTGGAAAAGCTGAATTTTACTGAAAACAACAAAACCAGAACAAATGGGGAGCCTTGAATCTATATGTATGTACAGTGATACTTGATTGTGAATAATAAAACATGTTTTTATACAAATCTGGTGATGAATCAGATCAATGAGGTAAATTATATTACAGTATAGAATATTGTAGGCACAGGATAGAAAACTTTTGTCTCCCCTCATTTTTCAGAATTGACCAGTATTGCAAAACAGCTAAACCAATGAATGTGCAACTTTGCTGATATTGTAGAATTCTGCTAAAAGCTGCAATATGCAATTGTTTTCTATGTGTAAGAGAACCATTCGTTTAAATAATATAATTACATTAATAAGAAGAAGAAAGCAAAATGCTACTACTATCATTGTGCTGGGAAATGATTCATCGAATTCTGAGTCCAAACTTGTATAATATTCATTGGGAAAACATTGATAAGCAATGGCATTGGAGTATGTATATGAGCTAAAAATTTGCACATGGATTTAAATTTATATTTCTGGTCTGAGTCATGCCCAGCCCTGAATTGTTTTCTTCTTCACCAGTATCCTTGCTTCTAACTTCCTTGTTAAGATCAGAGTCTTAGACGAACTACTTGAGTAAGGTTCCTGAACCGCGTATGTATAAAGTGCAGTGGTTCTAAGCAAAAGAATCCTTGAGACGGATTCCACACAAAATGGGTACCAGTTTAGAAAGAGTAGAAGGAAAAGAACCCAGGAGCATCACTTTCTGCTTCTGTTGGTGCAGCTTTATTGCCTTTACTCAGTCAAGAGCCAGGGTGTTTCCCCTCTCCTCAACTAGTATTCTCCTTATGAAGATAATACCTATCAGTCTCTGAACTGTGTATAATAGGTTTGTGTCTTAATTTCAATCACTTAAGACGACCCTTGGCAGGTGAGCACGATGTTTTATTATGTTTGCTCCCAAAGCAAATAGAGTGAAATTTCGCTATTGCCAAGAGCATATTCTGGCTGCAGAGTCTTGATTTATCTTGTCAGGCATGGATCATGCCCTGGAGAGTCAGAACTAGAACAAGGAGTAAGGGGAAGCATGGTATCCTCAGAACTGACATGCTGGATTTCCCCAGATACTTAAGGGAAACTTGACAAGAGCATGATGAAGACATCAATCTCAGTGCTTAATTTGCAGCTTATTAATAGCAAAAAAGGAAAAAAAATCCCTTCCTCATCCTGTGTAGCAGCACAAGAGAACTTCCTGCTACTTCATCTGCCCCAGTTGGGTACCTTCTTTTCGGTTGAATATTAGTTCTGAGCCAAATGTGAGGGTGTGCTTTTAGTCAGAGGTTTTCCTGAATTGGGGTTGCAAGCAGGAACTGCAGGTTCTGCCAGTTAAACTGAGGACATGTGCTGGTTCTGAATTGGCTTCGAGTTGTTGTCCAGCTGGCTACTCTGTATTGTTACTATGTGATCCCTCATTGGTCAGGAGCCCCTGCATTTAAAAGTGGTGGAGAATGACTTTCCAAGCCCACAGCAAACATCTTTTTAAAAAGGCAAGAGAGAAAAGCCCTCACAAAGGGCTTTCAGGCTATGTCACAACACCAGTACAAACAACTATCCCACCAAAAATATTTCCACATGAGTCTTCATAGTAGATAACCATCAACCAAGTGCTAAGTTACCTTGTGCTAAGTTATAGTCACTGTGCAACCAAACGGTGTATATCATTTTGCTAAATGATGAGAATTTTAACAAATTTTGCTTCAGCATTAGCATCTTTAGTTTACTGTTGTCATCCCTTTTCACTAATTTTATCAAGAAATCAGGCACCGTTGCCAGTACTTGCATTCCGCTCTTTTCTGTGCCACTTTCCCATCTTCTTCTGACCTGCTTCATGATGGTGGTGGTGATGATTTACTGGTATTGCCTCTAATTGTTTCCTGTTGAGTATATGGAATATGCCAATAAATCTCCATTTAGCCAGTTCTTAGTTCCCCAAAAGGATAAAATTAATTGCTAGTTTCCTCTCATTCTTTTTAAAATTGCAATTAATTTGCAAGTTAAACTTAATTGCAATTTAGATTAATTTGTAATTTAAATTAAATTGGAATTTAGATTAAATTGCAATTAATTGGAATTAAAAAGGGAAAACATGAGACTAACTAGTAATTAACTATCCCCCTTACTAATAACAGAAACTAATTAAAGGCCATTTGATCAATAGTGCAATTACGGCAAAGAACAGGAAACAATTAGAGGCAAAAGCTTCTAATTAAAGATGCAGAAGACATTGGCTGAATGGATGCTTAGTCATGGAGATGGGTGTACCAAATTATATAACACCGTATTGAGTGTTTCATCAGATTCTACTTCCAGCTGACAAGAGAAAACCAATACTTTGGCAGAACTAAATGGTTCTAGTGCTGAAGCAATGATTTTTTTTACCTAATCAGAAAAGTGGTGCCAATTCTCCATTTTGTTTGGAGTACCATGATATAGGCAACAGGCTTGCCGAGTGCATAAATGTGTAGTTCAGTCTGGATCCCTGTAACCCACCAAAGGATTATGGGTGTGTCATGCTGAGGTAAACATATCAGCTGAGGGTCACCCCTCAAAGTGAGAGGGAGAGGCTGTGGCATCATCAGATTATATATCTTTGGGAGACTAGTAACCCCTTCCTCTCACCAGAACACCCCAAGAAGCCCATCTGAGAGGTTGAGACGCAGTTCTTCCTGTGCCAGCTGTAGGGGTGGGGATGGACATTGGAGCTGTGACTTTACAACTTGGGAGCCTGGGATTCGCACGATCCTATGGCCATCTAGATGCACCCTAACAGCCATCGGGTTGCTGTAAATGTCATTTGCCCTAACCTCGCACAAGAGGTTGGAAGGCTCTCAGAAACACGTAACTGGGAGTGGAAGGTCAAAACAGAATGGCTGTTGGATGCTCCTTGTTTCTGTGGTGCAGACTGGAGGGAGTACACAATTCAGAAAAGTGTCCCCATAGTTACCGTCTATTAAATGGCATGGAATAGGGAGCATAAAGTCCCCATATCTGTTCTCCCTGGCAAACATGTATGTTTATCATGTGACAGCACACCCAAGGGCCTGTCCTTCCAGCAGAAAAGGGGGGAAGACATTTTATTAGTAAAACACCTTCCTTGTCAGAGTCAAACCTGTTCCTGCTTGTAACACCAATTTAGGATTCAGGTAGTTTCACATTCTTGAAAGGAAACAGAGCCCAAACCTTGACATTTGGCTCCATGTCTTTTCTTCATAACATTAAAATACTGGATTTTTGCTGGTGGTTTGCACAAAGCTTTTTTCCTTTTATAGTTGTATGCAAATGGAACCCAGTTGTTTAATGTTTAAACAATGCACTGTATGTTGAGTGTGTGTGTACGCACACACGTACCAGGATTCAATTTACCATGACATTGTAAATGTCACTCAACTTATGAATAGTGAAGGTACCGTTCTTAGAAATATTTTCTGTGACAAGGTGAAATATCTTGCAAATTGTACATGCAGTCTCTCTTTCTCTCTGACAAGACCTGGTTTTAATTATTCGTTTTTGCAGTAACTGGCATGAGAGGCACAATATAGTATACTGTAAAATAAAAAATAAAAAAATTAAAGGTCCTATGTTTAGCATATATAACAAGCTATGTTGCTATTTGATTTAAAACTCCTAACTGTACTAGCTATTTTAATTTTTACAACAACCATGAAACCCTGCTGGATTATCTGACAACCAAGGCATTATACTTCTACTGTGTGAAAGACAAAGAAACAGACTGGCAGATTGAACGGTTGAGCTCCTTTTTCTCCCCATTGGAACAACCAGCATTACTGCCAAAACACTAACTGTGGTCCATATTTGTATCAGTTTTTAACATGACATATATTCCATGGTTATGACTGAGGAGATTTTTAGGTCTTGCACCTTTAAAGAATTTAGTATGATCTCTTTACATGTTTCTAATGCTTGAGGCTTTATTGCTTAAACTTGACAAGAAAAACAGTGTTGCTGCCATTTGTAAGTTTTCCTATACTGTTCCTTTTACTGACTTTAAGCACTGGCCTTACTGCACTCAAATAGGCAGTATCCCTTTTTTAAGTGACCTTTGCAACCCAAGTGTTACTTGCTGTTTTAAAAGTTCAGTATCTTTCAAAGGACCTGGAGAAGTTTTTTTCCCTTCCACATGGGTACTTGGGCTCGGTTTCAGGATTGTTCAAAGCCCCCCATCCAGTGCTATTCGCATGGAAGGAAACTCTTCATCTTGAAAGTCTGGGGCTGGGGAGTCACCCCCAGCTAGATGTAATGCAGCCTTCTAGTTCCAGCTTTATCATCCATGTGTTTCATGTAACCTCCCACGTGTAGTAATCTCCAGGGATCCCAATGTGCTAGAAGGCATACAGGCTGATGCATGCAGAAAGGTCTGGCTTGGGCTTCCCCACTGGAGAGGCTGATCCCAAGCTGTGGAATGGGGCTAGTCAACTATATGTGTGATAGCAAATGGAGCCCCTCTCCCCTTCCTTTTAGGGACCCCACATGAAAGGGGCTGTTGTTTTCCCAGCAGTCAGCACCCACATCATGTGGGTACCTCCTGCCAGTGTCTTCCGTCCACTGGAGCTAGCAGATTTTTGATGGGCCAATATTATTATGTTTAAAAGCACTCCAGGAGGTTCACAATAATGAATGCTGTAAAATGCTGAAGCACAGTATAAAACTTGCTTAAAGAAAACCCTGACTATAAAACCAAAGTAAAAAGCAATGGCAATGTAAACATTAAAAACAGAATAGATTTAAAACAGAAAAGAACTCAAGAATATGCCCAAAGAAAATCAAAAGGTCTTCTCCTTGTGCTGAAAGGTCCAGAACATGGGTGCCAGGCAAGTCTTTGGGTGGGGGGTATCCTAGGAACAGGCTGCATGCCTGAAAAAGGCCCTCTCCTTGGTAGCCACCTGTTGCCCTTCATTTAGTGGGGGCCTTTTAAGTCTGATTTTAGGATCCAGACAGGTATTCATGTGAGGAGCCTGTCCTTTGGCTAACCTGGCCCCCAGCCACTGAAGGCTTTGAAAGTTAATACCAGCACGTTGAATTGGGCCTGGAAACAGACTGCAAGTCAGTGGTGATCACAAAGAACTGACATAAAATGTCCATATCAGCCAGCCCAAGTTAATAGTCCTGCTTCTTCTCTTGGACCAGTTGAAGTTTATCCAGATAACTAATCTGATGGGGAACTTCAGAAATTGATTGATGAAGCTGGCCACAGAGAGTAGCACACTTGTAGCAAAAGCTATATTTGAATGGAGCTTACATCACTTGTATAGCTATTCCTTAGAAATGTGGATCAATGCCACATGCCCTGCAGAACCCTGCCAAACAAATCCCAGTTGTTATAAAACTATTCTCCAGAGTCCTCTATTGTATTTGGGAATATCTCCAGAAAAGAGAGGCCACTTAATCTCATTCTGAACATCGGCCAAGTTTCTGGGTTGCTACTTCTTTTTTTTTCATACCACATTGTTAATATTGTTAATATTAGCTGTAGACTATTGTAAAAAAGGGTTCAAAAATGTCCGGAGTTTCAGAGTTGGTTCCAGCCTGTTATCAGCAGCCAGTGTTCTCTATCTCTGTATCTGTTCGAATCGAAGCTCACATTTGGGAGAAACAGTTTTGCTGAAGATAAAGTGATACCATCTTGTTTAAATTCTTATAATTTACATCTGATAAAACTAACAAAACTGCTTACATTTTCTAGGATATCTCAATCATGCTTTTTGGACTGTCTGTACTAAGATGTTCAGTATAGATCCCTGCAAACGTAAAGAGAGAAGGGAAATGCTTTTGATTGGGCAGATAGGACTTTTTCTCCCTTTTATTGTGTTCTATTGACACTTTTGTGAATTTGACGAGGCTGAAATAAGGAATAAAAGCAAAACATTTTGTAAAAATTTGTACTATACTGTTATAAAAATTTATAATCCAAAATTGCTGTGTTTAATTATTGTGGAATAAACAGTATATTCAGAATAAAAGTTTATCATTTGAAATCCATTATTAGTGTGCATCCTTTTCTTTTAATGCAGTCAGTACAGATGATAAACAGCAGCTCTTTCCCCCAAGTTCAGCTCCAGAATATTTTCATGCTAAAACGGAGACATCTTTTGCACAAGACAGCAGAACATTAGATGGGGCCAAAGAACTGCTGCAAATTCCCCTTCGCGCCACCTCCCTGGGATGGCTTTGCCAGGCTGCAAGCCTATATGCACATTTACCTCTGAATGGTCATGCATAGAATTGCACTACTATTAAAGGAGCAATCCACAAACCCCCAGTCTTATAGAGTTACACGCATCCTGCACAGGGCAAACCAAGTAGACAGCTCATTTGAGTCTTCCAGCTGAGGTGCTTCAGGTGTGGAAGGAAAGAGGCTGAGATGCTGCCAGGATACATTATTATCTTGACAGCACCAGTCTCCTCCTCTCCTTTGCCTCTGGAATGTCCTCTTCACCTCCTCACTGAGTTTGGCCTTACCAATGCAGAGAGACAATTCTTTCCTTGTGAGCTACAACAGTGGAGAAGGGGTTACAAACCCAGATTCCAAGCTCTGAGGTCAGAACCCTTCACCGACCTTGGAGCAGGGATGCCAAACGCTACAGCACCTTTCTAGCCACTGTGTGTTTGAAATAATGCAGTTGGACTACAATGATTTGTTTTAATTGGTTTATCTATAGCACGAGCCTATCCACCAAGCAAGATAGGATGAAAGAGTGGAAATGAAGCAGGAGAAAGAGATCAGGGATACGACATTGGATGCTGTTGGGGGGGGGGGGGGTGAACAAACTAGCATTTTGGTTTGAATAATGCTCACCATCGCACAGAAATTCAGCTACTTCTACAGGGGAATTAAGAAAAGGCTTCCGGGGTACATTTAGGGCTCAGCATGCATGTACTGATGCTACGTCATCACTGAACCCTATCCACTGCTCTTTCTTTCCTGCATAAAACACAATCAGATATTAATATAAGGAGTGTCAGAGCATCTCAAAGCGGAAACAGACACCTTTAGAAATGGATTTTTACCATCAATACATAAAATTCAATACTATTTATATGCTGCATGTATGTTCTCTAGCAACTCCCAATAAAAATATAAACCAAGATCATAAAATAATAAATAACACAGAATGAAATCTAACACAGCAACAAACTGAGAGCAGAGCACTAAGCTCATAGCAGCAGAGGAATGTCATAGAGCTTAAACATCCCAAGAACACCCCAAAACACCTCTTGAAAATTTAAAATTGAAAACCCTGTGAAAATAAGAGCTTTAGCTCATGTTGAAAAGATTACAACAGGAGAGTCCCGCTGGGAAATCTGGAGACCGGTGAGGTGTGTTGGTTAGAGTGCCAGTCTGGGGTTCAGGAGATCTGGGTACTAGTCCCCACTTGGGTGTGCAGCTCACTGGGTGACTTGGGGCCAGTCAGACTCTCAGCTTAACCTACCTCACAGGGTTGTTGTGAGGAAAAAATGGGGAGCAGCAGGAGGCTTGTGCAAGACGCCATGTGTTCCTTGTAGGAAAAAGGGCAGGATATAAATACAATAAATATTGTATATAGAAGGAGTGTTTCTGGATATGCTGTCAAGAGCTCTCAGGGGCCTAAAATGAGAGGGGGAAAGATACATGGAAAACCAAGGGACTCCCAGCCTAGGCTGCAACCCATTACCATGAAGGAAAAATGAGGCAAAATTGCAGCTTATGTGAGGAAGCTTGTGTGCCTGCGTTGGTAACTCAGGGGTCACATCCCACCTGGGCCATCATACCTGCAACTCCTCTCACACACTGGTTTCCATTTAACCCCCCCCCCCCCGCACTGAATCCCAGCAGCTTGGATCACAGTTGCTTGAAGGCAAACATCATCCAAGGGGCCAAGACAACATGCCTCAGCCCACAATTTCAGTGGCTGGGATCGTGATCCTGGCAGGAGGAGGAAGAGGAGGCCTTGATTTTCCATTTGCACCATGATCTGGTGGTGGATTGCCATCCACCCAACTCCGAAAAAGCTGTTTGACAAAACAAATTTTACTGGGAGACCATTCTCTGCATGCTCGCTTTTGCAGCAGAATCCTGTCAAAGCAGCGAGCTGGCTGGCTCCATTCTGCCACTGGACAGGTTATTCTTTGCATCGCTGTGTTGGCACATATTGGGCAGGGGGAATTTGTCAGTTGGTGGGCCACACTGGTGCCTTCCATGCTCCACCCCTGATGTGTATCACATGATCAAGACTTTGTGAGATTAGCAGGAGCTGTACCAGGTAGACCTGTCCCCTGCCCCAAGAGGCTATCTGGCCTGTGAATATATCAAATAAATTCAGACTGGAGGATAATACAAGAGCTATTTTAGGTGCTTAACTTTTGAAAACATGACTGTCCACAATAGTTTTAAACATCCAAAAGAGTTTTTAAGTAGGATTAGTGATATAATCCTACTAACATAGCAGATGTGACCTTTCTGATAATTTTGTCTACTCCAAGTACTGTGGTTTTGAATCATGGCCTGGCTTAAAATCTAATGATTCTGGCTTCAAGTTACATTGAATCACGGCCTGTCTTAAAATCAAATGATTTTGGCTTCAAAGTGAAGGCAAGAGATGAAACGCTTAGCTAACGCTGTATCTTATTTCAGGGTTATCTATTGTTTTGTCAGCCCTGTATAAATTTCTGAAAGTGACAGCGGCTTCCAATGAACCAGAGTCACAGCAAACCAATGCTGTGTTTTTCATCCTACTTTTCATCCTAAGAAATGATGAGCATCTCCAGATAGACACACACATCCTATTTGGGAGTTATACCTCGCATGCTTAAAACTCTGCCAGTTTTCTACATTTTGCAGGACTTAAAGCAGGCTCCCTTCTTCAGACATTTCCCCAACAAGAAGAAATGTTTTCAGAGGTGGGTGGAGCCAGTGAGTGAAGCTCCGCCCATCACATAATTGTAAGCTCATGAGGTATGGTGCTTGAACTGGGCTGCACTGGAAATAATGGTGAAGACTAATCTTTGGCTAGGAACATATTAGGCCTTGTTCCACCATCCTGGACCTTCACAAGCTTGGACAATTCGCACTGCACACAGCCTCCCATGGGACCAATAAGCCATTGGTTTGGTTGTCTGCCTAGACCTGCAGAAATGAGGGGGTGGGGAAGTCCAGCACCACCCCAGCGACCTCCATTGGCTGAGTGAGTCACACACTCCTCAGGTCTGTTCCATCCATTAATTCACAGCCACCTCCAGCATTCAATAGGCCCTGTGTGCTTTCAGGGTACATTTACGCCCCTCGAGGGAAATATCTTGCTTCAGAAGTTTCCAGCTTGCAAGATTTCATCGTATTGAATAAAAAATGTTGCCCATTGTGCCAATTTTCTCATCTTTATTTTTGCAAATGGGTTCAAATGGTATCTGGCTCTCACCGCAGTGGAAGTTAGCTCAGGAGTGGGAAAGGTGGAATACTGAACAGTCCGAGATAGGTATCTTTATTGTTTCCAGAAGACGCTGACTCATGGAAATTGATATCTTGCTCCTATAGCTTTTGTTAAGACAAAAGACAGGGTGGGGGGAGACCCTTTGAATACATTACCAAATTGTAAAACTATGCTCCCCAAGAGTAACTGACTTTTACGATGGCTTTCAAAATTCCTGCACCTTCAGTTGAAAAGAAAAACCCACCCAGTCTGTGTCTCTCTGCTGCAAGCCTGAAACGATTTTGCTTTATGGTGTGAAAGAGATTCTCTACACTCTCCTCGTCCAGGCCCACTTGCTAGTCGACGGCGGTGCTTGACTCCTTGCAGCCTGTGCCGCTGTTATCTGTCGGAGACTTCCTGGCTTCCCACAGTACTTCCCCTCCCCATCCAAGACCAGGCACGTTCTCCCCAATTTTAGTTGACAGCATGATCCCCTGTTTGCCAAAGCAAAGCCCGAGAAGGGAAACACAGGATCAAAGAGCCAGCCAATGATGCTGGAGATGAGTGAGTTTGAAGCATCTGGTTGTAGCTTTGGGGAGTAACGTCATCGTTGGTGATGGAGGCAGATGTCTACTGGAAAGGCAGGGTGGGCCACACTTCAAACAGTTGCTTTCAAGACAGCTAACCTTCATGAAGCAGGCTCTTGCCGATTCCCCAGGTTATACATATTTCATGAAGGCCTATGTAGAATTAAGGCAAAAACATCTGCTGGAGGGGGGAAAGAGAGAGAGAGAGAGAGAGAGAGAGAGAGAGAGAGAGAGAGAGAGAGAGAGAAGAGTTGACTGAATGTTTTTATTTTTGGTTGATTTCATGACTGTTTCTCAGCATCTTAAGACTCACGAGTTTGCGTACAAGTTTGGGCTCATACATTTTTGGCTGTCTGACTGTTGGCACCAACCTTAAGAGGGAACCTTGTTTCCAAATTACAAAGGAAGATCCTGAAATCACTTGATGTTCCTAAAAGGCAGCTCTAATATATGACATAGGGCACTTCTCAGACAGTTTTCCAGTCCTTGGGCTTGGATGGAGTTACTGCCTTGCTGTACCTGATATTTGGTAGCACAGATAAACCTGGCCGTGGCACATATTAGAAACAGACTTGTGCAGCAGCTTTACAGGAGCTTACCTGTCATACAGTGGTTCAGCCTGAATGCATGGAAAGCCCTAATGTTAGCAGCCACTTGGAACCTGCAGCACTAGCTTTCAGCTCTATTAGGACCAATCTACTGACTTAACAAGGGGGGAGTTCCTGTAGCCACATGGTGTCCCATCTGTATGAAGGCAATTTATCCAGCACCTACATATTCTATGAAGCAGAGCAGTGTAAATTGGAGCTGCCATCACCACCACCACCACCACCCACCTGTTTTCATCTTGTAAGTTCTCAGTGTTCAGGAGAAACCAAACAGAAGGCTGCAGAAATTCTCAAAGTTTGAGATGAACTTAACAAAACAAGAATTTGAAAGGGACTGACATGGACAGAGTTATCCTCCTTTGGAAGAATGTAGCAGAATCCCTCCTGCTCAGCTGTAAGCA